TTAAAACTCGTCCTTGATGCATTTAAAGATGCGTTGAGTCACGAGATTATGTAACTTTGCAGTAATAAAATGCATTGCGCGAGAGTTGCTGTATTTCTGCGACCACGAACCGCTACACACTGGACATCAAATTGTTTTTAAAAGAACTTGATTTTTAAAATTTGAATGTGAATAAGAATAATATAATTTCAGGAGAAAATAAGGGAAAAGCGATTTTATTGTATAATCTACAAACAACACAGATGATATAATTAGCAGTGTCGCAATCGGGTGTATTTATTGGAAGCAAAGTATTACATCTGTTACATGTGTAATGAAAAAATAATCGTTTGTTACAATATTTATATTAGTCATTGCAAAATTGCGATCATGCACTAGAGCCGCCGTTTATATGACAAAGCATGCGCGTTTTCCATGCAGGCAAATTTCGAAAAAAAAAAATACTCGGCAAGATGAATTGGAACCATAAAATAAATGGTGGTGGACCTGTGTAAGCTAACGAAGTTAATAACGACGATGAAAATATTAGTGATAGATTTAAGACTGCTGATCATGAAATTTCTTTTGCATGAACGTGGCTTTCGTTGTTTGAAAGAGCATTCAGATTTCATTTCTTCCTTTATTTCTTCCTTCTCAATTTCTGTTTCTATATTTTTAGCCGTGTCCAAACCGCCATCTTGAAAAGTGAGGCCTGAATCACTTGTTTGTTATACCTTAGAACACATTTCGTAAGTGCCAAGTCAACTAATTAATCTATCATTACATCGTATTATATATTATCGTATCATATTAACTTATCATTAGCCAGTAAAACCTTTTAATGTCTTAGAACCTTTTAATGTCTTTAGGAGTTATAATTTAGTGATTCGCGCCAGTCCAACTTTTCAAGATGGCGGACGCATTATTCTCCGAAACTCCTGATGTATTTATCGCATAAAGGGTAAAACATCTCTCGAACTGTGAAATGTACGATTTTACACATACTAAATTGAAACAACGTTTTGGGTTTCAAAAAGCATTCACTATCCGTAACATTTTAACCGAAAGCAACATACAATATTGATGGATGATATTTGGCGTCTGCTAAAAGAGACGAACAAACCATCATATTGACTTTTTTTAATGAGGATATTACCACCCAATATTGATACCTTTTCTCGTGCATTAACTATTCAGACCTATTCACGGTTCGTGCTACATTTTCATTAAAAAATATTCAGGATTTTTCAAGTATTTTCAATGCAAAACAAAAATTCGTTTTTTTTTTCTTCGGCTCACGCCCACGAAGGATTAACGTCGGAAACTTAGTTAAGTTAGAGTGCTAAAATTTATCTTTTTGCAAAACTGTTTCAAGGACTGTTTTCATTAAATCTCGCAGTTTAGGTTCTGTACTTTTTCAGCTGTGATCTTTGAATTCATAATAGCAAACCTACAGATCAACATGCTGGCTGCAAGACATCGATTCAATTAGGAGTATTTTTTTAGGTTTTGGCATTAAATTTCAAGGAGTTACATGACTTCATGCTAATCTTCCCAATAACTTTTTTTTCGTAGTAGAATCGCGGTCCAATCCGGTTTCTACTATTGATACTCTTCCAATTACATTTAACCTCGGCTGGCATAGAGTTAACAGCTTTTTAGAATACAGTAGCCACAAAAACGCGAGAAATGGAGTAAAGCTGCTCAGTCGCCCCCCGACCATTGGCAATTTTTCATGAGTAAAATACTTTGATTACATGTGAAGACTAGCAGTTTTAATATCGACTTTATTCATTTGTTTTTTGACCAAAAGGTTTTTCTTACTGTACATATTGCTGTTTGTTTGTTAGAATTTTCGGTTTGATTGATTGAATTTTTAAAATTTAACGACTAGGCATTTTGTCCTTGATATCATCTGGACAGAAAAGTAAACACAATCGACTCTATCTTCACTGGAAAATAAGACACAATTGCTTCGCAAATCTACTCTTCTTAACTCGCGTATTTACTGTCTACTGATACTATACGGCGTTTTTTGAAAAGGTTACGTGGTCGTAAATGAAGCGAATTTAATTAAATGTGGCCTTGTAGTTTTTTTCTCTCATGTTCTCTAGTTAAAAAATCTCAAGTTTGATTTGATTGGCTGTAGTTTGTTGTCAAAATTATTCTTTTCTTTTCGTGTCGTCATTAATAATTGAGGTGTAATTTGAAAAGCTGTCGCTAGGGAAGCTGTGCGATTGCGGAAGAATTACATGTACAAATTGCATGGTCTATCTGAAATAAAATCATTCCTTTTTTCGGGTCAAAGATACTTAATTCGACTCTGACATTTTGAAGAGTGATCATTTCAGATTGCTTTCACGAAATGTCATCATTAGTCAGCCAGTTCAAAACGGGTCATCATTTCAATTCGAAAACGCATGTCTGAGATTGTATTAACTTGAATGTAAATAGCACTAGTATGAATAATTAGGCGTGCTTTCCGGCTTGACTGTATACAGTTTGTGACTCGCTTTGCGGCATTAGAAAACCTTAACAGAATGAATTTAGAAATTCCCCCTGACGCTTTAGCGATAAATCAAGCTCAAAATGCTGGTAAAACACCCGATGAAAGTAATATTCTCAAAGCGAAAAACTTCAAATTACCTGGATTGACTAGATATCGCGAGGGAGTAATGAAGGAAGCGTTCTTTTTTGTACAAGTTGTGGGCCCGAAATTTGGCAGCTCTGCATACCCGGAAGAAGACTGCAAAGCCGAGAAAAGGCGGATGGAAGAAATCGTCAATTGTGTCAATAAAATGGAGCCGGACCCTCGCTTCTTGGTCGTTTGTGGTGATTTTACTCATTGTAAACCCGACGACAAGGAATATTTTCAACAAGTGGAAAATTTTAAAGGAGCGTTTGACAATTTGAAGTCAGGAATCCCCGTGATATGTGTATGTGGGAGGAATGAATTCGACAAAGAGCCCAGTCCACAATCCATCGAATCGTATCGACTAAATTTTGGCGAGGACTGGTTTGCTTTTTGGATTGAAGGAGTTCAATTCGTAGTTTTAAATTCACTTTACTATGGCGATTTAAAGGCGTCTGAAGACTTTGTAAGCGAACAGAACGAGTGGCTAGAGTCTGTGCTACTCGAAGCTCAAGTCAATCCACCGCAATTTATTATTGTTATTCAAGATACACCGTGGTTTGTGAGCGACTCTAGCGAGCCCGACAGCAATAACAATGTCGACTTAGCGACACGCCAAATAATGGTGCCAAAGATGAGAGAAGCGAACGTCAAAGCGATTTTATCGGGAGATCAAAATGGAAGCTCAAGTGACGGTGGAATTGAAGCCATTCAAACATCCTGCCTAAATGGAAGCGATGGACATGGATTTCGCGTTTTTAAAGTCAAAAGTGACTCGATTCAACATAACTTTTTCACTCTTGGCAACTCCCCGAAAGATTTGAATAATGAATTTTGATGACATTCAATTCTAAAATTTTAGTCAGAAAAAAAAGATTAATATCAATCGGGCACTTAGAGAAAATGAAATGAAAAGTAACGATGTCTATACTTAACTATTTTTGTTTTGGAAAAAGACTAATATAGAATACAAAACTCGATATATAAATTATCAAGCTAAGAATCGGCAGTCTGAAATGGATGAAATTACGAATTACATGCAAATAAAGACATGGCATATCTAAAAAGAAAATAAAAAAATGAACTTTTTTATTACAATATGTTGTTTTTACACAGAATTATCTAGAATAAAATGTTTATCTGTAAGGGGAAGTATGACTGACTAGAGCACTAGAGACGCACCTGTGAAAGTGTTCTAAAGTGAGAAACATTTATATAGAACTTGATATTAAAAGAAAAGTCGGATTGCAAAAGACGCAGAATGCCTTCTAAAAGAAAGAGGAAAGGAGTGCTTAAAAATTTAAACGGCCTTTAACTGCTGGTATTATATTTTTCCAGGACCTAGTGCGCGCCTAAAGTACTGTAATGATTATTCATCTTCGAAGAGTATTTGCTTTGATTTAAGAATCCTCAAAGGCAATTCTCAATAACAAAAACATCTCGAAAAATAGTGCATTAACGCTGCTTGCCCGGGGTCTCAAACTATACACAAATTAAGCACACTCTTTTCAAAGTTAAACGTCTTTCTTATCCAAATTCTATTTGTGCTTAAATGACACGTCTGAGTGTTCAGATGTATCAAAAATTCGCATGACTTGGCTTTGTTTTACTGATTAGCAAAGGAGTCGCTTCCTCGTGTATGTGGCATAATAGAATTATATATTGAAAAAACAAACCTAATATTGACACGATATATATAACCGATGAATGGATGAAGACAGTTCTTGGGCGTTGTTCGATCGTTTCACTCATTACGTGGTTTTTCAGTTCCTTTTTGAAAGATATTCTCTTTCTATTGGCCTATATCGGTAACATTGAAATGCTGCGGCGTTACAAGGAAGTTAAAGCCTTCATCGAGGAAAAGAAATATCTAAGACTACATATACGGAGTATAAACGTAATTACCGTGAAATACCGAAATCACTGACAGACGGAGCCGGAAAATACAAACATACATATCAAAAACATATCACAAAACTGGAATCAAGTAAAGGAAACATTAAAAAGGTTCTATAGATAAGTTAAGTGTTTTGAAATCCCAATATAACAATCGAGAAGCAAGAGTCAAAATACTGTACAATAAAAAGTTTAAAAGATTAAAAAACGTATAAATAAATAAAAGGTGGAGGAAGAAGGTACTCATAGGTCGAGGCGGAGAATAATATTTTTTAATATTTTAGCATAAACGGCCATATTGGATAGCTGCATCTAACAAGGAAATTGTTTGTATTTTATTATTACACAGGATCTTTTGCTTTTCGTTTGCGAATTGTTTGAATGAAAACGTAGTGCATACTAACATATAGAGAAGGGAGAATTGACAGATCTTGACAGGCAGTCATTGTCCAATCAAAATGAGATATATATACTTAAATGAAAAAGCTGTCGCTAAAAACCATCGTTTGTTCTTAAACAAAATGAGATGCTATATACCGAGTAGGGTTGAWAAAGGTCGTGACAGACGACCGTGACAGACAAAGTGCTCTAGAATAGTCTAGGAAGTAGGCTTATAGGACACGTAAGCAAATATCGTCGGATCTTTTTTATCATGGAACAAAGAAGTTAGCATATTTTATTGTTATTATTCAATACAAATTGAGTGCTGTGCTAGCTTGAGCCTGAGAGGTTATACGACAAACTTCACACGAGCCGAACTACAATTCACGAATGGAATTATGCGTATAAATCAATTAAATTCAATGACGAATTCAGTCGAATCTGCAACTGAAACGTTTGAAAACACGGCAATGGTGCGCCAATTAATTCATACGTCGCATCTCACATGTGTCATATTTAATGCATACTTCTAATAATACTTCGTAAAGTCGTCTGTGTTATCCGCCATATTGCAAAGCACACTGACCGAGAGTTGATTTAATGTCCAAATTAAATGCCGTTTTTGATGACTTTAGGCGACTAAATTCGCCGCATGTGAAGTTCGGCGGTTAACCTAGGCGTTAGATACTGCTAACATGACGATAGCTTCTTAAATACAGCGAGGACAAAATGCGTTTGAAATGATCATTAAATTTATATCATACTCTTTCTTTGTTACCTGGAGGTATCGTTTTCAAAAGTTTATGCTTAATATAAAATTGCCATACACAGTATTTCCTGATTTCATATTTTACTAACTATATGCTTTTGGATATATTGTGGAATCTGAGGGAAGATACTCTGGTATTACATGCAAAATTGATAACATGTTCTTAGTATAACATTGTACTTCTTGGTCCTTCTTGATGTGTTTAACTCAATTCAATTGAACTATATTCCACTATCTTCCATAAAAAATACATGTACAACCAAGTGTCTTGTGGGGAAAACCCATTTCAAAGAAATGTTTTTTGGGAGCTTTAGTGATAATTATTGTTAAAGTACACACACACAGTTATCCCAAATGAGTTTAGGAAAAGTTATTAATCATTATAATTAGTGGATTAGATGTTGCAACTGTTAGAAGGATTTTAAGCTCTTTCAGTAACAGCTAGTTTTACACTAAGTAAGAGAAATAACTTTTTTAGCACTAATTTATATTTTGCTTGCCTTTTTCCAGATTCTAGTGTGAGAAAAAAGTCACTTCAAGAAAAACTCAAAAGACTAATATTTATTTAGTTTTATCATAAAATTCAAACTAAGTTAGTTTATGCTGAATATCTGTGAAACATGTGCTTTCTAGGACATTATTGTAATACTTACTAACTAATGTTCGCTTTTTCACACAGGAATATAACATAAAATAACACAAAGTCATCTAAGTACAATGCAATTGTTATTTGCACTGAGGGAAAAAAACATAACAATTTTCTTTACCTAACAGATATATGGAGTTCACTCTACTGTAGTTATTATAATAAATATTTCTAGCACATTACTTGATGTGTGATTGTTGTACTAATAATGCATATTTACACAAATTATTTGTCCTTTTAATATTATTAGGAAGAGAATCTGATCTACCAACCAGCATCTTCCGAGCGACCAAACTTGAAGACGAATGCACTGAAACATAAATATTATCATAATAATTTTTAAAATTATTTTCATTATGATCAAAATGATGTTTTATCATTAGTAATCATTATAGTGATAACTATTTATCATTTCATTTAGTTCACAAGACCTGATTATGAAATAATTTATTAAAACCCATTAAAACATAAATTAAATGACTAGTTAGGTATACCTGAAAAAAATGAGTGCATTTTGTAGAAATATAGCAACACCAGGCCATGGATTTTCAGCTTCTAAAAACAAGTTAAACAAGGCAAAATTTAGAATGCTGATGATTTTGTAGGAAAGTTTATGTTTTTACTCACCTGTCACAACATAGGCACCAAAAAGGATCCAGCATGCTGCAATCAAGCTACCAAATGCCATTAGAAAACCAATGATGAGCCACACTCTAGCACCTGGTAAACCAATAATAATATTAATAAGAATTAAAGAATAATAATCATTATTACATTCACAGGGAATTCAGCCGGCACATGGAGAATTCCAGAGCGTATATTGAGCTTTCCACTAGCTCTTTTTGCCAAATAATTATGCCGTCTGTGAAATAGGAATTGTACTATTAGATACTATTACTCCCTATTAGCTCCCAATAGTCTAACTTATGACATGCGACAAACAAATAATTAGGCAAAAAACAGTTTTGATTTTTGGTAGCCTACTACACCCTAATAGTCACTATTAAACACTGACTAGTAGTAATTGTTTCACAGACAGATGAAAACGACTCTATGATTCACATACAGTTACTTTTTCACGACACCTACTTTCAAATTTTAGTGAAACCTCTTAGTGACCTTTTACATGTAAATACAGACAATGTACATGTTTACCTGTTTGTCCTAAGCATCCTGTAGTGTAGGATTCTCCTCTCACTTGAGCATTTGAAACAGCATTTATCCTACAATAAACAAATACAATTTGTGGTCAACTTATAACATAAACTGGGTTCCTGCCGCATTTTCATCTCGAAAGTTAGTGTGCTTTTTAGCACAAAAATTTGACTATTTTCTATATTATGCTAATAACTGCCATTTTGATTGACATTTGACCAGCATTGTTCCTAATTACTGAATCACTAGGAAATGATCAAAAACAAGCATCAGTCTTATCCATGATTGGTTACTTTGCCTAATAAAGTAGCTGTGCCTTTGAAATGAAGCTAGACAATACAGGTGTTTAGAGAACAAATGACAGAAACCTTTGTTTACATGTCAAAAAAAACTGTGCACTCTTAAAGAAAACCCTTGGAAGAAAACCATATTCCTTTGCTTGAGTGGACAGTACAAACCTGTATAGACCAGCTTGTGCACTCCAAATGAAAGAAATATTGCATATGAGGTTGAACATGCTGGTGTGTGTGAATCAATTTTATGACTTTTCTTAATTAGTTCATATGATAAAATAATACTTTTTGACTTAAGATGGAGCTGTATTGAAAATCAGGCTCTCAACCTATACAGCACAACCTRCAGCCAAATATTTGACAGTACAGCTCTCAGTCAATCAGTATTTTCTCTCCTGAAATGTATGTCTAACCTAGTATATATTAAAGTGTCTGGAATGATGAAATAATCACTTACATGAACACTGCTACAGTGGAAAATACACCTGGAGAGTGGTATGCTGGGTCAAATGTTGATGTTGCTGCAGCATCAATTAAAAACCACCATCCTATATGGAACTATTATCAATTGGAAAAAATTGTTAATTTAATGTGTCAATTGAAACCTGTTCCTCAAATCCCTGGTAGGGCCAGTGAATTATATATAAAAGCCATCTATTTTACACTATTTTACAAGCATGAATCCATAGGGAGGTAAGATTATTAACATCCATATATATCAAAGGAAATAATCTTCTAGGAACCAGTTGCTTGTTTTGTACCTAAAGAGCTGGGAAAAACAGGGGTTTGGAAGCCGTGACTATAACTAACTGATCAATGGCAGATCTAGGAGGGTCACTAAATCTAAAACACAGAACTCTTAGATGGTTTAGGCAAATATAGGAATATATCTTAGTTAATTATCTGGATTAATCATTTGAATCAGCAATGGAAGGAAAAGCAGCTTTCAATTTAATTCTATTGGGTTTTCTATCACTGTGGTATAGGTAAATTTTCTTTTATTATTTACCAGATTGTACCATTAGTATTTTGGAACCATCTCACAGATATTACGCAGTTCATGAGTAAGCCCACGAAGTATTTACATGTAACCTTCTGAACGTTCTTTAGCTTGTTGTAATAAGAAGAAAATCACGCAAAAAAACTTACCAACGAACCGGCAATTATGGAAGCAATAAGGTTCCTACGTTCAGCTACCGCATCAGTCCATCCAGGACAAGTTATATTATCAAGGCAACCACTCATTTTGTTATGGAACGTCAAAAAATTCTTCCAATTTTGATTACATTCTTCTTCCCAAAATAGCGCTTAGATATGTTACCCACAATGCATGTTGAAGAGTTGGAAGTCCTTGGATTTTGTTTGTTTATTTTTATAAAAAAAAAACGAGTAGTCTTTTCACGTTTGACGAAACAAATGAATTATGCTTACTTTTCAACCTATTATTTATACCAAGAAAAAACAGTAATAAAGGAAATAAATAAATGAAATAAAGTCGAAAGAACAAAGCGTGTTTACCCAGAAGTCTTAGGAACTCTAAAGTGTAACCAGGCCTCATTAGTCAGCAGTTGTCCGCCATCTTTGACTTCATTCAGGTATTTGTCCTCGTGTGGAAAACTTTTTTCTCCAAAATCTCAAAATGTCTATTATGGAATATAATGGGGCTGCTATTATAGCAATGGTTGGTAAAAACTGCGTTGCTATAGCTGCTGACCGGCGTCTTGGTATGCAAGCACAGACCGTTTCGTGCGATTTTCAGAAGATCTTTCAAATGGGAGAAAAGTTGTTCGTCGGGCTACCAGGGCTGGCAACCGATGTGCAAACAGTTGCAAATCGCTTGAAGTTTAGGTTAAATCTGTACGAACTACGAGAAAACCGTTCAATCAAGCCCAAGACGTTCTTGAGCATGGTTTCCAATCTACTCTACGAGAGAAGATTTGGTCCTTATTTTGTAGAGCCAGTGGTGGCTGGTCTGGATCCAAAGACAAATGAGCCTTACATTTCTGCATTGGATCTCATTGGATGTCCTATGGAAACCAAGGACTTTGTAGTTAGTGGAACATGTTCTGAGCAGATGTATGGTATGTGTGAATCGTTGTGGGAGCCAGATCTTGAGCCGGATGATCTCTTTGAGACCATTTCACAAGCACTGATGAATGCTGTGGACAGGGATGCTGTCAGCGGTTGGGGTGCTGTAGTCCATATCATTGAACCAGATAAAGTCACAACCAGGACATTGAAAGCAAGAATGGATTAGTTTTGTTCGTATTTGTGTTAACTTCTATCTGTGAACATGGGTGGGGAGGGGTCTAAAGTTTGTTTGAACTCATTGTCAAGAAGGCATCTTGTTTGACTGTAAAATAATTTGAGGAGCAGTGTCAAATTCCACAAAGAGTGACAGTGTTTTGTTGAAATTCAAATCCATCGATGGTATTGGTACCATTATTGTATGAATAGATACAGACAGTCAGAGTAAAGTCATTGTATTTAAACTTACATTAAAGATGTTTACGAAAACTTGTATAATTTGATAGAAGGTAGATACAGCCTCTGGCATGCACAGGGTATTAAAGTACCAGTATTCTAGGGCATCTAGGGAGAATCTTCTGTCAGTTGTTCCTTGATCTCAGAAAATTAATACTGAATAATTTTAATTTCTAAGAAATTAAATTAGGTTAATTAGGTTCCTGTTAGAGGATTGTTGTTGTGTGAGGTGTGGACAAAGCATTCGTTTTCCACTGTTTAAGGATTTATATGGTGAAAAGTGATATTCACTTGCTTAAAATCCAACTTTTTTTATTGTAGCACTATGAAAGATTTTTTTATCAACTTGATTTATATATTTCCTTGTTTTCTATGGAGTATAAAGACTGGTATATAGTTTTTGACTATTTTAGCATTTTGCTTTCTTGTGTCCAATGCACGTGCTGCATTCTTTTAGTGTTTGTACTTTTACTCTCTTTCAATGACAGTTATTTGTTTTCTACATAGCATTTCCAGGTCTTGAAATACTCTAGTTTTGAGATTTTCAGTGTAATAGATATACAGTTAACTCTCTTTGAACGACTACTCTTGTAAGCAACCATCTCCCATTTGCAAGCACCTTTTAAATTTCCCATTTTGTTAATTCCTATATAAACTCTGTAAAAAAACTTTCTCGTAAGCAACCATCTCTCGTAAGCGACCACTTTTTCCTGATCACAAGGTGGTTGCTTTTATGAAAGAGTTGACTGTATTCTTTATTCAGCAGATATCCTATTGTAATGCAAATACTCTGTGTACAAAAAAGACAATGAAAATTGTCTTTATAAATGTAAAGAGAAATCGAAACTGGACTATTTAAGAAAGGAAATAAAATGTTTAACTCAGTTTCGTGGGATACCTGTGGAATACCAATTTATTTTGGGATTCCTGTATTCTTTGCGCCCGCGATGCAAGTGTTGTTGGTAACTTCGGTTGAGTAAATTGTCTTGTTTTAGTCGTTTTTTCTCAAGAATATCGATCATTTATGGATGACTTTCCTCCTAAGAGGGTATGTATGTTTATTTGATATATTTTTCGTCGAAAAATATCGATTTTATTCACTAAATTGACCTCAGTCGATAAAAAGTTCATAGTGTATTCTGTGGATTTGCTTAGCAACAATGGCTGAGCTATTTATCCTGAAGAAGTTTCTATGAATGGGTTATTAATGCCAGTACCGTGTAATATCAACAGTAATACAAAGTTTAGGTGCAAGGTTTCGGACATCTGTCCATATTATCTGGGTAAAGTAGTATCTGTACTTAGTGACTGATATCGAATATATGCTATAAGTTTAAAGTGCACTTACAAAGGATTTTACAAAATTTACATAAAAATAAAAGAAAACTGGAGCTCTGTACATGCATTGTTAAGAGTAGCTGGTGGGAGCGGGGTTGTGCACCCCTCCTCGCATCTTTTGCACATTTCGCCCTATTTTTTCTCTCCATTGTGACCATTTTGTGGAATGGACTGGTGTTCACTTCTGCATGAAGAAAGTCCTGCATCTGCCATGGAAATATTCATAGATGTTCATTAATATAAACTATTAAAGGTTGATTACCAAATAGTTAGAATATATGTTAGCAATGTATAAAGTATGAACATCAAACACAGTGGAACAAAGATCAGACTGATATATGTATTTTGTATTTTAGAAAAACGTCATTCCTTTCTTTTGTCTATTTGACTATTAAAGTATATATTTTCATGAGATTGCATAAGTATATTGTTGGTCTATGGAAATATGGTGTGATATTGTACATGATATGGAAAGTCTATATAAATTTTCATTTTTATGAATTGATATTTATTGTTTTATAATATGATATCAAAGAGGCAAGATTTTGCTGTAACTCCGAGTTTCGTGCTACGCACTCATCAGACAGTATTTAATCAGTATCTTTAATCAGTATTTATTGTTTTATATAATTATAACAGGTCAGCCACTGGTGATCAGCAACTTGTTGACTGGATACATAAACTAAACTCTATTAAACGCCGTGAGCATTTAAATAAACCTAACTCACTAACTCCTCCAGAATATAAACTGCAAGAAACCATCAATTTTGAAATGTCAAAGGTACTTTAGATTTAAATTATAATGATTTATAAAATTTTCGATATATAACGCACGCTCTGATTGGCCGACGACCGTGTTTATATCAGAGGACAGAGACACAGCTTACCGGCAAAATTTTCTTTTCGCTCGAAAAATTTTACAAAAGCTCGCTACGCTCGTGTTTCTAAGCTTGCTTCTCTCGTGTTTTTCGAACTCCCACCGTGTTTATATCAGAGGACAGAGACACGTGCGCCGTTTTATATTTCTTAAATATAATGATATAACAGTAAAAGTTGTAACATGGTAAATGGAGATATGCAGAATATACAAATATTTATGATCAATACTTACTGTAGAAGAATGTTTTCTAAGATACAAGATTCAGTTGTGAATAGTATTGTTGTTGGGGTTGACATCCTTGTTTGTGAGGTATTTAAGCTTGTTAATTGTATTGTTGTTGGGGTTGACATCCTTGTTTGTGAGGTATTTAAGCTTGTTAATTGTATTGTTGTTGGGGTTGATATCCTTGTTTGTGAGGTATTTAAGCTTTAAAGTCTGATGCATGATGCTGAATGATTCCTAAGAATATAACAGATCTTGAATACAAAGCAAGACATAGTACAGTACTTTCAATATAAAGCATTTAAATTAGTTATTGTAGTATTTGGAGATTTCTTGTAAACCCAGTAGTAATTTGACTTATTCAGTCATTACAAAGTCCTTGGAGGTGTAAATAAGAATCAAGTTCTTAGAGAACTCTCAATTCCTGGTGTCTAAATTCATAGTCTTGTGTGCATAGCTAGACCATCGTATCTGGTGCATGTAGCTAGAGCTTCTCTAAAATGCTTGTGTGTTTATGGGTGATGTCATTGGGACTAGAAGGTGTGATCTGACGAGTGGTTGGGAATTTGATGTTCTTGTCATGAACAGTAGGGTGAAAGATCTGTATATTTTGTGTACTATGTAATAAAGTGTTGTTTCTTTCCTGTTATTCTTACTGACATTTCTTGCTCCTTTAGGTTCTTTTCATTCTGTAACTTCCTTTGTAATCCTTATCTTTTCTTCATCACTCTGAAGCTTGCATTTTGGGTTTTATTCCTTTGTAGGGAAAACACCCAAATGTCATTTACATTATTTTATCACTCTTGTTTTGCAAAGTACATGTATACATACCATATATCACACTTACTTCCTACTGTATTCTAACTCTTTTATGTGACTTTGTAAACCTTCACTATAGCCTGACCTATCATCTGATTTTGGGGATGATCTAGTGGAGTCAGATGAGCAGCTAACATCTGAAGGGGTAATTTGCATGGGATATTCTGACTCATGTTAGTAAAATGAGGTCGGAGCKACTTTTACCTCAGAAAATGCCAGTATCTATTTTATATTCTTAACATTGTCTTGCCATACGTTTCACCTGACAAGTTCCCTATCATCTACCAACAGTCAACCTTAAGTCCAATAGATCACCTCTTTCACACTGACCTCAATGAATCTTTTTTTCTGATCGACCTTTTAGATATTCAAATTCATCTGTATTAATATCTTATTTTCCTTCAGACAAAACAACTTGATATCTTTTCAAAAACTGCAATGGAATTAAATACAAACTGCCCGAGTATAAATGTCTAAATTACATCAAATATCTGACACTTTGATTGTTAAAATATTTTAAAAGATTAAAACTTAAATCGTCTGACTTTAATGTTTGGTAAATTCCTTTGGCAGTGGTACTTAAGTGCCAATAAAACCTATTATTATATTAAAAGTCTTTGATGAGGACATTTTGGTGGGTTTTTAGGAAATACGACAAGGCAGAAGAGCTGGTCAGCAAGCAGCATCTACACAGGAAAGTGAGGATGACATRCTGGACAATATGATGGAGGGAATTGACAATGGCTCTGTTCCTCTTGATGATGTACGTCTCTCAGTTTATAATTAAAAATATATTTATATAAATCTCATTTTATGGCTGGCTAAAAGTTTTTTTACCTTTGTAAAAGTAAAATCCTTTGTTGTCCTCTTCTTTTATATTCTTGGTATTWTAATCAAAACCTAGATGCCACCAAGGCCATCCAGAAGACAAGGAGGATGGGCAAGTGAGACAGCTGCAAAAGAAAAGAAAAAGACGTAAGAAATTGAATTTCAATGCAAACCCTATTGTCCTTAGCATTTGAACAATGATACTTATAACAAAATATGCAATTTAGTTCTTCTTTTACTAATAATGGCAGATTTKCCTTTTTCCCTTTACAGTACTGGTCCAGGGGATGTGCAAGATTTTGATGATGAGTATGTGTCAAGTTTRGTGTTTCCCTATTGRCTAAAAAAGATGATTTTGATTTTATTAAATTGAATATTTGTAGCGAAAGGCTGCGCATGGACAGCACAGCCCCAAAAGACGAAGATAATGGTAAGTATAGTTTGCTGTTAGTAGAATCTCTACAATCTGGCCCACAATACAATTAATTATATGTTCCTGTAGATATCCTTGTGATTCCTGATTTGGAGGAAGTCCAGGAAGAAGACATGGCAACTCAAATTGCAGCTCCTCCCAGGTACAAAGATTACAATATTTTCTGCCACGTTAAACTCCAACACTTTGGTCTMCCATGTTGGATTTGAGCAATCAAACCTTTTGATGTCACGCATACTAATTTGGCCGAGTGAGAGCATAAATTAGAGTCAATTACCAAATTTCAAAGGCCCAAAAAATATTTTAGCGTGTTTAGTTTTCTTTGAAAATTTGCAAACAGACCAGATAAATGTTTACGTTTACATAAATGATTTCTAAAAGGTTGTTTATTGCATAGCAACAACATATTACATTGTATAGTACCTTGTTGATGGAAAATTCAGCCTGTGTGCATCTGATTCCACCCCTCCCCCCTGATGTTCATAACCTGCAGAGTACATTACCAGGAGTTACATATCATTAGCATACCTTGCTGATGGAAAATTTAGCTGGTGTTTACGTAAACATATAACAAATACAAATGATTTCTTGTTATACAGTGTCCAGGTTAACCGAGTGGCTACTTACAAAGAACTGGATAATTATTTACAAAAACATGCATCGCTTTTCACTTTGGTAAGTTCTGAATCTGTTATAACTGTGAGATAAGTCATAAAAGATAAGAGGTGTTTGGCTCCATGTGATCAGCATGATTTTTATTAGAAAGGAGCAACAGGAGAATTCACTACTTTACTCCTCTAAATTGTTTTACAAACTACTATCTTAAGGTGAAAAGGTCAGTCCTTTCAAAGAAAACAGCCACCTACTTTTAATTCTTACAATCCTTCTAGGATTAGTGATAAGCTATAAGTTTAATAAGCTAATTAGAACTAAGGGTATGGAAATTATTTTTCCTGTTTTTTTCAGGATGGAGAAATAGATTTAAAACTACTCAGCAATGTTCTTTCACCTGAAAATGAAGTCTTTGAGGTACATTTATAATACAGTTTCAATTCTTCTTTGCTAAATAGTGATGGTATTAAACCTGTGAAATGCAAATGTTGGCCTAAATTCACTTCTAATCAAGTTTTTTTTTTCCAGGAGGACAAGTCATGGAACTGGAATAGGTTGTTTACTGAAGTTTCTTCGGAACTTCAGAGCGAATGGGATAAGAATAACAAGAATACAGAAGATAAAGACACCTCATAATTTATTTATTTATTCCACAAAAACAACTAGTTTTTCCTTTTTTTGGTTATATTTACAATATTGTACAGTTCAAAATGTGAAAGTCAAATGTTCCGACATCAATAATAGATTTGTGTTCAAAATATGTTTTTATTCACAAAACAGACTGACCTATACATCCTAAATACATTTTATGACACTGTTTTGGTTTTATTCTAAGTAAAAGTGAAAAAAGTACAGTATGTGGCTTTCATTGCAAGAATAATAAATTATTGATTTAATGTGACAAAATGTTCATAACATTGTCTTGTTTATARCTAAGATTATCATTTTATATAGAATTATTGTATTCATTATTTGCTGTTATTTAATTGTTAATGTGCTGTAATTTAATGTTGTTGTATACTTGTAAAAACAAAAACTAATATCTAAAGTTGGATATCAGTATCCATATAAAAACTCCACGAAAAATATAGGTAAAAGTCTGATAATAATTGCTGTAAAAATTTAAACAATAAGTCATTCAGAAAGTAATAAAATTGTTCAAATTTTGCAATTGGCTACTTTAGGTAATTAGTATTTCTTCTTCTACGATAACATCATCATCACTGTTGCCAGTGTTGTTGTCATTGTTAGGAACATCTTGAAACAAAGCTTTTTTAACTTCATCTTTAGGAGGGGAGGATGTTGTTTTTGGTTTTGGTCTAGCTGCTCCTGMAGGTGGTACTAGTTGTCCATAAACCTTTACTCGCTTATTTTTCTCATCTTTTTCTGCCATTTGGTTCTCTGTTGTTAAGGTAACACGAACTTTAGTGAAGATGGCAAGGTCCTGCTCAATGTCAGGTCCTTTTTCAGCTAGCCACGTTAACTTCAAGCTTGCTTGATTTGTCTCTTTYTCTTTGATGTGCTGAAATCGTTTCAGACTTGAACAAAACTTGCAGTAGATTCGTTTAGTTACACCAAGGGCTGGAACAAACACATCAAATGACTGATCCATAACTGCTGACACAAGCCCATCTTCCTCCAAAGGCCCACACTCACGAACAAATATMGCAAAGAAAAGATCTATGCTGAGCTCTCCTGCATGCTTGGCTGCACTTTTACGATCATTGCAGTGCTGTGAGATGTAGTCCATGTCATAAGTCTGTTCATCAACTTTKTCATCAAGGTCWAGACTTGCTGCAAGCAGTCGATGAACAATGATATCAGGATATCGTCTTATTGGTGATGTGAAGTGAGTGTAAAATGGAACACTCAAGGCATAGTGCAAAAAGTGRTCCTCTTCCACTGATCCAGAACTAAAGTACACTGCATTCTTCATTGGTTTCATAGTYTACAGYACAAGAATCTCCCTCTTGGCAGAACCAAGCGGAAACTTATTGAGAGATTGCTGGATAGCTTTAGATGACTGGATGTTGAAGGGAATTCCATGATTGGTGCACAGTTTAGCAAGTTCATCTAGTTGTCTTTGGTTGGGTCTAGGGTGACGCCTCAACAGGGAAATCTTTGGGAAGGCAGTGTAGATYTGATGTGCTACTGCCATGTTGGCCAGTAGCATGAATTCTTCAATCATCTTGTTGCTATCTCTTTGTTGGTGGACATGATATCCCTCYGGCATTCCTGTGTCTTGGTCAAGATCAAATTGGAGCTTGGCCTGCAATAACAAATCAAAATTAGCATTTGGTGAGTTGGATGCARGCAGTTTTGTCCCCCAGTATTGACCCYCAATGTGGYGCATTCCTAGATACAGATTCCAAGCTCCTGGATCCTGTGTCATGYSCTGAATGCAGCTGTACGATAATGTTTTTGTGAGTAATAATTGTAAGTAGATATATTGRATGTACTTGTAAGGGAGATTGTTAAGTAGTAAGACAAATCAAAAACTGGCAAAGGATCTTATTGTGCAATGAGATTTTTGCCTAATGGTAAGAGAAAGTGAATGATACATTAGCATTTATAAGGACACYCATCCTGTTTGTAATACAGTTGGGAATTCAATGCACATGTGGCATGTTGATGTGTGTACAAAGATGCTGAGCTGCATTTTAACTTGCAATCTGCATGCATGGTTCATTTACCTGATCAAGTCTAAGGGCACCATTATCAAATCGATTGCGCCTCAACTGAACAGCAATCTTATGCAYCATCATAACCTTGGATGCAATTTCCGATGCATCAGTTCCTTGAGAAATGGGTGGCAGCTCACCCTTCTCCCATTTCTTGTTAGGTTTCTGGATCATGTCATGTGCATGCTCATAGGCTAACTTGACACGTGATCGGATGACACTGCGTCCCTTCCAGTCACTCAGGATCTCTCCSTTGTCATTCATGGTCCATACTACAGACATGGTGAGTCGGTCTTCATCTGGGTTCAAGCTGCAGAGTTCTTCACACAAAAGCCTTGGAAGCATGGGGACAACAGTCTGCACCATGTARGTTGATGTGGCTCGGGCTTGTGCCACTTCATCCAAAGCTGTTTTTTGTCGTACAAAGTAACTCACATCAGCAATGTGAACACCAACTTCAATGTTACCATCTGGTAACCTCTTGCAGTGAAGAGCATCATCAAGATCTCTTGCTGTAAGTGGATCTATGGTAAAAACACATTCATCTCTGAAGTCTCTTCTCTTAGCAAGCTCTTCTTCAGGGATTACCCAAGGTGTTTGGGGTAAGCATGCTAGAGCTTCCTCAGGAAATGGGCCAGAGTCAATCTCATATTCTGTGAAGATAGCTTCCGTCTCTGGSATGATTTCACCAGCCTCCCCAAGGCTTCTCATAACCTTCCCTGTTGCAAGAAAATTGTCAAGTGAAGAGCTTTCTGGCCATTCAGTTATTCTTGCTACAAAGAGAGAATTAGCAAAATCTTGTGGTCTTTCAAAGAAACCTGGTGGGCAATCATCACGTGGGATYCGTAACCTTGGRAACCGGCTATCAGTTGGGGTAAATAAAGCATCAGCAGCAGCTTTGTTCTTTGCATTGAATGGTTTCAAGTGACCCCCAGCAGCACGGGAATGCTTCTTCTCAATAATGTAAACAACAACTGCTGTTTGTTGAAGGAATTCATCAGGTACATTAGCTTTTTGYATTCTCTGTGGTGACTTTTCAGCWGAAGTTGCTGCACCTTGAGATGAGTTGAGGTGTGTRTCATGRAAAGACTCAGCTAAACCATCAACKTTGTCCTTCTTTTCAGCTTGCTTTGATTGATATTCTTCATATTCTTCTTTCATAASCCTCCATTTTTCCCTGGGAGTTACTAGCAAAGCAACAACATCTCCCTCCAGRGCTCGGTTTCTWGCYAGCATACCYTCYATGACAATATCTCTTCTCATMCCATCAACAGTCACCCAAGCCATTTCATAGTTCTTCTTATGTATTCTGATTGTCCCTTTCTTAAGTTCACCTCGTTTCAAACCAGCGGATACATTCTCTGTTGACCAATACTTTTCATAGCCTTTCTTTTTGCTCTGAGGAGAGTGAGTTTTGGGAGAACTGCCACCGTTTCTTGGAGTTGATCGTTTGCATGTTGGTGTTGTGTTATGGGAAGAAGGTTGTTCTTTCTCTGGAGTAGTGCCATCAGTGATGTCTGTTTTCTTTTTTCTTTGTCTTCTTCGCCTATTCTTATGGCGACRTGGTGTCTCCTCGCCTTGCTCTTCATGTGCATGGACTTCATCACCATCAACTCTAGCAGATAATTCCACCTTGTTATTTTTCATGAAAACTCTRTCAGCAGCTGATTTGGGTTTGCTTTTGTCGTTTTCAACCACAACTTCCTCAAGAATCTCGTCACTTGGCTCCTCTGTGTTTTGGGTATTTTGCTTTTTAGCCTTTCTTTTTCTTCGCCTCTTTTGACTTTTAGTGAGTGGTACACTTTCTGCAGACTTCWCTTCATGCCTTCCTTCCGAATCATTTGATTCGTGTTGTTCTTCTTGTAGCGCTTGTTTTTCCTGAGGCAAAGACATTGTATCCCTTTCAGGCTTTGGAGTGGCTTCCATTGCTACTGTAACTAGTATTTTGCTTTGATTAAATGATGCAACAGTTACAAATACCGTGCAACATAAAAACTGCTGATGTGTGATGAAAACACAGCTTCAGAGCGACCTCGTCGAATAGCCTTTAGATAATATTATACTACAAGGAAAACCTCCAATATCTGAGTAAAATTATTACTCACGATTTMAAGAATCAAAGGTCATAAAAACAGAGCAAAACAGTTGCACAAGTTAAGAATATTCGACATTTTTGTTTTCACCGTCGTCCGCCATGTTGATACGTCACAGTGTGGACTAATCCCTTGAAGGTGATTGGTGGATTGAGATTCGTCGCGCGCTCCTGGAGCGCGCATGTTCTGAAGGGCGAGGATTCAAGATGGCGGCAGACACTATGACTATTAGAGGGCAAAATCACTGTTTTCTTTCTCATTAATGAGCTATTATTTAATCAAAAATGAGTGCCGAAGGCCAAAACCTTCAAGCCAAATACCAAAAGCTTGCTTCAGAATACGCTAAGGTGAGAGAATAGCTTTGCATTCGAAGATAATATTTTGGAAAGTATCCGTGACATCTTGTCCAAGGGTAAAAAAATAGCCTTATGGAATTAAAGAATTTCAAACGCGATTTTTCCATTTTGCATCGTAACTAAAACTGTGTAACCAAAAGGACAGTTCCCACTAACTACATGGCATAAAAATTCTCGACATTCCTTATAAAAGAGAWCTTTCCATTTAACACAGGGAGCCCAACCGGAAATTCAAATAAAAAGATGCCAGTTTACATCCCTCCCAAAGCTTACCATGGTCCTTTTGTGATCTGCAATTTTCATCTTTGCAGCTTTCATCTCTAAWTTTTTCATTTCTGTAAATGTGCTTCAAATATGTTTCAAACGTTATCATGTAGCCAGCTATCTGCATCATACATACAATAATTACTTCAGGATTTTCAGCCAGTATGAATAGTATGCAAATATAATCTAATACCCAGGTTTGATGTGAAATGTAGTGTGTAATATAGCTAATGATTGTATTGATCACCTSAATATGAATTTCATAGCTGAGGGCTCAGAATACCGTCTTGAAGAAAGCAGTGATTGAAGAACAGGAAAAAACAAAAACCCTTCAGGTATTTTACTCATTTCATCATTTCCTTATTTTGCAATGTTTCAAAAGGATGAAGATCTAAGCAACAAATGGATTCAAAAAGGGGACATTTTTTATAACAATTTTTCAATACTGAGTTGTCTCTTACTAATGAAGAAAGGTTTTTGTGTCATGATAAGAATGTGCAAARATATTTCAATGCTCCTGTATATCTTACAATAGCATGCAAAATGTGCTTCTGTCAGTGTGTGATTTTAATAAGCAAATTTATGTTTTATTTATGGGTGATAAGGACACCAAAGTGTTGCAGTTTTATAGATTTATAATGATTACAATGACAAAAATCCTGTCCTTAGAACGAGGTGTATATTATATGAAGGTGTCTTCCATATACAGACATGTCATGCTATATGTTATTCTACTATTATTTTATCCATAAAGGAAGGTGGCAAGCAAAAAGATCAAACCATCAGGAAATATGAACAAGAAATTGATAGCCTTCAATTTAGAAATGATCAGGTAATATCAAGCAGCGTATATTATTTATTGTATATCAAGGAAACATGGGTAAGGGCATCTAAGTTATATATATAATTATTCTTATCACTGAGTATACAGTAAATGAAAAAAAAGTTATTCTTTCCTTATAGAATGCATTTAGAATAATTAACAACACCATTAAAACAGTTGCATGGCAGATTTGGGCTTCCTTTGGAAAAAGAGGCTGGGATTCCTATGCCAAAAAATATACATTATTACCCCATATTACTTGTCTTATCTTTCTATATTGATAGTTGTCCAAGAGAGTAACAGTTCTTCAGGATGAGTTAGACAATTCAGGYAGTAAAACTTGGAAATCATGGGTATGTAAGCTTATGGTTTTACAAAAACAATTTTTATTTGCTTGATTAATGTGGTTGACTTACAAACATTTGTTTATTGTTTTATTCATTTATTTATTCATCCATCCATCCATCCATTTATTAGGGAAGTCCAAATGTTTCCAGACCAACTCCAGACAATGATGTCATTGATGAAGAGTTGCAAATTAAAATACAGGAAAATGAAAGACTTCAACGGCAGGTTAGAATCAGTTGGAAAAATGGGGAGTGTGTTTGGGATTGTGTAGGAGGAGTACCWTTGGATAGGGTGAGGTAGGTAGGATTAGGTAGGTAGGTTGAGGTAGGTAGAGAGAGAATATTTGGGAAGGAGGAGTTGCATTGGTAAGGGAAAATTGGAGTGTCTCTTGGTAGGGAGGGGTAGGGGACTATCATTGGGTGGGGGATGGGGGATGTCTTGGCTTGGCTAGGTATAGTAGATATAAGGAAGATGTCTTTGGGTATGGAAGACAGGGTGTTGAATGGAAGGAAGGATGGCCTTGACTAAAAGTATTATTTTTTCACTGCTTTATAAAGCTCTTTGAAACTTCACAAGAACAAAAAGCCATTGTATCAAGTTTACAAGAAAGGCTCGAAGTTGCTGAAAGGTACTGAACAGTATAYATTATTATTATCAATCCTACAGTAATGTGCATTACTATCAAACTATTTAATGCATAGTACAGTATAATATTGTGTATTGTCTGATTCCACAGAACTGCATCAACACACCAAAAAGCTGTAGATGAAGCAGCTGAGACTCACAGAATGGTTATTGACAAGCTACAGGAAGACAGAGCAATGATGGAGGTACATGTACTTGATCAGAAAAAAATGAAACCACTGGATGATTATTGCTAATTCTTTGAAATTTAGCTTTCAATGTGTTTTGGTCTAAAAATAACTTGCAAAATAATCAGCTGACTTGGTTCTTTTGTTACCATATTTTACTCTATCATAGGCTCGGCTTCGTAAGACAGAAGATGAACTTAGGACAGCAGTAATGAATGCCGAAAAAAGGTAGATTTCAATTTTTGCACCATTTTAATGCAAGTTTTATACTTGTTTTACAAGTTCTTTTATACTTGTTTTTACATGATGTTTCAGTCAGCAAAGACTTGAAATTATAAAAAGAGAAATGAGTGATAAATATGGTAAGTGTTGTTCTAGATTTACTGTCTTGCACCTTTAATGTATGCACAATATATGATTCGAGATGGKTTTGAAAAATGGTGGACAAAATGTAAATGACAATTTAGTTATGAACTAATTTAAGCTATTGTATAGTGTTCYAGGAATAAAAGTCGAATCAATAGAGAACAATTCTTAGTATGTGAATTGTCTGCTATGCTTGCTGATCCATGTTATCTGGTTTTGTTGTAGAAAGTGCTGCAAAAATTATTGCGGATAAACTACCATTCAATGATACATGTAAGAAAACCTTTGTGACTACAGTATTCTTGTTGTTCAACCATATACAATTTTGTATAATTATCATAGTCTTTATTGTATTGTAATTTACTGTTTTAATTTTGCAATATAAAATTTCACCAGTCATAAAATTTGTGAAAGAGGTTGTGAATATTGATAGTAATTGTTGATTGAGTTTGTTTACATCCAAAGGTGACAAGGAGATCAATATTTTAAATGTACCAACACACGATAGAAAACATCAAGTAGGTTCTAAGTGATTTACAGTACTTTAGAAATATTTGATACAACTCCAGGTGCTAACTTTCTCTGTCCATTTTTTAGGTAAAATCTAAAGAATTAATTGGTTTAGCAGCAGAACTTATAAAAGAATTCACATCAGCATTGTCAAATCTTCACACATACACTGAACAGGTTGGTGATAAGAAATAAGATCATTAATAATGAATTATTTATAATTAAATACTGACAAAAATATTTATAGCTTAAGCAAAACTTGTGGTCTTGTCCTCTGAACATGGGAGGAGGTGGCAAGCATTTGGGAATGCTTGAAAACTGCTCCCTACACTCTTGTTTAATTTAGATACTTACCTACAAGAGTTTTGGAAATCTTTGTTAATACTTAAATTTCCTTCACGTTCTTCAGAGAATCAAGACTTTCTATGTGGAATCTGCTCAACAACAGTTGAGTGCGCAGACCCAAAAGGTGAAAATAATAACTTGCTCAGATTTTTTATAGGTCCTTCCAGRTGTTCTTTTTGTCCCTTGCAGAATTCAAATGTAAAACAAACAAAACAATAAGCTACAACACGGAAATAAATCCTCAAATTTCATTAGACTCCCTCCAGTGATGTGATATTTGTCAAATTTGTCAAATTATAGATTGTGCTCAACTGGTCATTTTTGTGTTATTTTCYTGTTCTAGTTTTGTGGTTATCTCCATGAAAATGCTGCAGTTCTTCGATCTGTGGAGCATTCTTTTACAGCATTCTACAAAGAGTTAAAAACTGATTCACTTATTACTTTGGTAAGCAMACATATTATAACTGTTTTAGTCCGAAACTTAAAATCTCTCATTCAAGTGTTATATGAATATTTTGTCTTGTGAAGGAAACTGTYTCTGGACTGAATGCATTTGCTGAATCATTCCACAATTATATCAAGTACCTAGAAAAACTATTGCCTTACTATCGCTTAAGGTAAGTCAGCTGCTTTCAAACTTTCCGTAGCCTTAAAACAGCACATACTGTTTTCTAGCAGTTTGTATGTTGGGCTTCCTGTGCCATTAGTCCTGCTTGACAAATTAATTTACTCAAACTACAAACAAACCAGACCATGGTAAAACTTACAAGTCAAGWTTTGTATTTTTTGTTTAGCACTGAGGAAGAATGCAGCAGTTCACCTTGTTCTACAACTTTAGAAAATCACAATAAACAAGTTGTAGCATCGTTTGCTGGTATGGTGAGGATTCTTAGCAAGGTGGATTCCTATGTACAAGCCCTGACATCTGCCAGTAAGTTTTTCAGCCTCCACAGGCAAGTGGAGGGTTTTCAACAATTTTTGTAGCCCAATGAAGAATAATTTTTGCTGATTGTTCAGCAATTTGATCATTTGTCCTTGAGGAATGTTGTTGACAACTAAGAAGTTGTTGTCTCATCTGTAAAGGCCCTGACTTTACAGAGTTGCTATTGGAGAAGAGCTCTTCTTGTTGAAGGAACAATATTAACAATATTTTTAAAAGGAGAAAGGATACAATTTTTCTCTGGAAGTTCAAGGGAATAAACTATTTATTGTTTTGCCATCAWATATGGTTCATACAAAAATGCAGTTTTATTAAGATCTGACATGTTCAAGGCCAGTTTGTGATTATGTTTATTTTGTCATAAAACTTGTATAACAGTTTTGTTACATTTATGATTTGCTAGGTTCTGGCAATGGTCTTTTACCTACAAACTATAATGTGTGTTTTATGCAGCTTACTTGTTTTCTGGAAGAACTGCATGAATCTGTAAAAGGTGAGGGAAAAAAGTATTGGTGAGAATAGCTGTATACTGGTGAAGTACTGATGTACAAGGGTATAATGTCCAGAGATTTAACAATTAGACTATCCACCTTTATCAATCCTTAAACAATTTTACACAATAGGGTATGTGTTGACTGTGGTTAGGTCATTTTGTGGTATTTTTTTTTCTAGAGCTGTCCAAGCATTTTCACTCCAAAATAACGGTTGAGCATCAACTGCCRACAACAACACAGGTAAATCGGGCTCTTTATCATGTTTATACATGAAGTGACTCAATAACGTAGCGCTATAACCACTGATTGGTAACTAGATGCCTTGAATGGCTATATAGAGTACCTAGTGAAGCATTAGCACACTATTCAACATTTGAATATGGTTTATTTTCAGACATTGAAAACAACAGATGACTGCATTGTGTCTAGCCTAGTCTTTCTTGTTACAGTGACAGGAAAGGTGAGTATGACATGTTATCTTTCATCAATACAATACCATCAACTACATTGTGATCTTTCAAAGAATAGTATGAAATCACATGACCTGCATGGGGATTATGTATTATATAAGATATATATTATATCTTGTTGAGCATGTATCTTACACATTCAGTAAAAACGGAAAGAAAAAAACATTTTAATGTTTATTATTTTGTTCAATGTAGATTGTAAAATTTATGAACAACAACTTAGACTTTTTAACAAGCAAGTCAGTGTTAAGGACTAGAGGAGCGTCGACAGCAACAGAGGCAGATGTAAGTAAATCAACGATTTATGGATGTCGAATTTTTCCCGCTCTTGTCTGAAAATGGTCATTTTTGTTTGTTTTAGTTGACGACGTCTCCATTAGTAGTAACATTCAGACATCAAGCGGCCAGCTACATGACTAGATTAACGAAGGTTAGCATTGATGATTTGTTTACCATAACATAACTACAACACTATGCTTGCAAGGTACTAACTGAAGTCACTTCGTTATTTCCATTTCAGCCAAGGCACGAGTCTGTTCCTTACAATTTGTCTATCCACAATCATCATGTACTTGCAACGTCAAAAGAAAGCAGCGATACGCTGTCACAACAAGTATGTATAACATTMAACAATACCGYAAAGYAACACCATTTTTACTGAGCGTATTTTCCTAGATAACACACAATCAAGAGAGACTAGCACAGTTGGAACAAGTAAGTATGAATAGTACGTCCTCTCTGATTGGCCAGAAAGTAGTGTTTAAGCCATAAATTAGATACATGGCGCGCGCGCGTCAAGAAAACTTATTTTCCCGCTTTTTTTGTTTTTGCGCTCACTAGACCAATGCATAAGAATTTAGTTYTGCTCGATCAAAGTCGTCTCAAATTGTTTTAAATTTGCTCATTTTATACTAATTTGATTTGCGCTTATTAGGAAATGGTATATATTTATTTGTCAGATTGTAAAGTTTTTAATTTTTGAAGGACATTTGTGAGTGAATGTGTATTTTACAGACAAAGGAACACTGGATGTTGGAATGTCAACTGCTGCAAGTCAAATATGAAAAGGAATGCAATGTAAGACTTTTCCTTACCCCCTTATTTAACACTCCTCTCAGATCAATAAGGCATCTTCTCCTCTCGGCATTCATTGGGAATTATGATTAATTAATAGTCTGTTTTATAGAAAGTGAAATCTCTACAAATCGACCTCGAAAAAGCCAAGTCACGCCTATCAGGTGATGAGGTGAGTTGATAATCGCAAATTGTTTCTTTAGCCGAAGTGGAGGCTATAGGGGTAAGTCCCCCTTCTCCCTCAGCCCACTTTGCCTCKCCTAAGTCCARTAGATCARACAGGCTACTGTTTTCAAAGAATAAAGTATAATCTCTGTATTTTTATTCTAGATCAAGGATGCATCCAAAGATCGTGCGCCATCTTCACCTTCGCATTCACGAATAGAACCCGATTACAAACCAACAGATGTACGTATTTGTCATGTGATTATCTTTAAGGCGCTCGACCCGCGAAATTTGCGAACTCAACTTCCATATCAGCTTAAATCGCTGTTAGCTATATTGTACTTTGCAGTTTGAACATTCTCAAATTATACTTTCGCTTGTTTGTTTAGCTTGGAGATGTACTTTTAGAAACAACAACTGAGGTATGCTTTCGTCTGTCTGTCTTCACTTATTCATTCATTCATCTTTCATCCGTTTATTCGATCTTTCATTTACTTCTATTTTTATCCGTAAGTTTTCTCATTCATTTTCCATTCAGGTTTCGGACGGCATGACACGGGAAACTCTCATCAAGAATCACTTCACTTCACGAATTGGTGATCTTACTACACAGGTATAAGAAAACTTTTGAGTGTATAAACTGTTCAACTGTTTAATTGAAGCTATTTCAAAAGCGCACAACGAAATCACAATCGAAAATTATTGTTGGTTATTGTTTGCACCCTTACTGTTCAACACACTAATGCCATTATGTTGTTTCCTAGCTCCAAATAACAGACAGCAAAGCAGCATCATTTGCAACAGAAGTAAGTAGTGGTTTTCCTTGTGATTGATCGAGACAATAAAAACAAAGAATTGTGGGATTATGTCAGGCAATGCTCATTGTTCTAATGGCAGGGTCCGTGCAGAGTATCAAAAACGAAATTTAAGGACTTTTCAAGGACTTTTTCCAAAATTGTATTTTCAAGGAGCATCAAAATCATGCTAATTGTAGATTCTTACCTCAAATCTTCAGCTGAACAGAATAATTCAGAGATCGCTAGCGCTTCGTGATAGAGATCCATCTTTTTCAAGGAGTTTTCAAGGACTATTTCGAAATTTTCAAGGAGTTTCAAGTGCCCCTGAAAACGAGTTTTCAATTTAAGCACTTTTCAAGGATTTAAGGACCTGCAGGGACCCTGTAATGGACATTTTCGATTTTTGTATTGCCTGTCTATTTATTTCATCAAATCACAATCTTTGTTCTAACAGTAGTGTGCACCCCCTGATTTGAGTTAAAAAGCACAAGTTGTATATTTAAATACTTGATGTCTGCAAATGAGCAAGGCTCATCGTGTAATTTTTCATGTGTTAATGATTGTTTTTTTTTTCTTCAGTGTCGTTCACTCTATAAACGTATAACACAAACTGACAAGGAACGTCGCGAACTCGCGGCTAAGCTACTGACTGCTAATAGCAAAGTAAAGCAAGTTGAGGTACTGAAAGATTTTATTTACTTCCTGGTTATAAGAACAGTCGCCAACCACGGTCCTTTATTGATGTACTTCAGTCATTCGTGACCATTTGAACGTACTGTCCTGAARCGAAATGTTTTAAGTTATCTTATTACGTGTAAACCGTCTTCTTTTTTTCCTTCTTCTCCCTCTTTTCATCCATTCTCTTTTTGTTTATCCGTTCTTTCTGTATTCCTCTTTGTTTTTCTTTTTTTCGCGCTCTTCCTCCTTCTTCGTTTCATCCCTTCTCATTTTTCTTTCATGTTTTAGGTTCTCCCTGTCTTCCGTCATTTTTCCGCAGGCTGTGCSCCTTTCTAACCCKTTTGTGTTCTTCTTCCTTAGGATGAGCTTGATGTGACAAAACGTAATTACGAGACGCAGCTATCGATGATGAGTGAGCATTTATGTGGAATGAACGAAAAACTTACTACGCAGCAAGATGAAATAGAATCGCTCAAAACAAGTGGACGCACGAAAAAAGCTAAGAAATAAAATAGACAGAAATCCTTACGAACAGAATTTGAAAACATTAAAATACCTTTTCTAAAATGGCATCAGCTTATTGAGATCCTAACCAACTTCATTTCGTTGACGGTATTTTTCGCGCCATTTTTCCATAAAGAGGTTCTATTTTGTCATTAAAACGTTCTAGAAAGTTGACTGATCCATGACATTTTAACTCAACAATCGCATGCCCATTATAGCAATAGACCTCTGAAGCTTTTACGTCATGTACCGTATACGCAATACATTGTAGGATATATTTGGGACAGAACATGGCGGATTTCTTTTGTTTTCTCTAGAAACTGATCCCACAATGCATTTAAAATCAAGTAGTGACGTAAAAGGTTCAGAAGTCTATTTATTTCATGTAGTCGCAACCGCCATCTTGGTACACTATGGTACTCATGTAAGAAAGGTATAGTGTAAAGTGCATATTAAAATTTACAATATAATTCTCAAAGACATATGATGAATAATAGATAAATGTTAAATAAATAGTTCAATATTCTAAATTGTTGTTGTYTATCAGTGAAAATAGCATTTCTTGTCCTTCAAATGATGAAAAAGTGGGAATATAGATTAAGATTTAGTATATCTGGACATTCATTGTATCTCCTTTCGGACACGGCGCAACCTCAGTCACGCGCCATCAYAGTGTCATAATTAACGTTAATACGACCGTCGGTTTTCTTTCTTAGCTCGCGAAGGTAGTTGAAAGAGGCTTTGTGTTGTTGAGATGTGATGTTCAAGCGGCCGTAGATTATGGACAAACCACTGTTTCGAGCCTGCTCCACCTTCAGCGATGCTGTGGCTTCAGCTTGAAGTTTAATCAAATTTGATTGTGCTGTTGCATTCTTGGAAATGATTTGGACCTCGTTGTTGATAGCTTGGACTTGTTTTTCCGTTTCTTTTTTAGCCACCTGGAAAACGAAAGTAAAACACTAATAAATTGGAGGCACTTTAACTCATGGAGTATAACTTTAAGAAACTATAGGATGCCCGTACGGATTTCGTGACGGGTCGTTAAGTTTTTTRCTGCTATGTTCGGAGATGCATTGCGCACCGGTTAGGAGAGCGAGAGAAGGGATTGGTTACGAGTCTAAGGGCACTACTGAGAGACCTACAGTCTGAGAAGGTGTTATTATATATATTCAGTTTATGGATAAAATGTAAAAAACATCCAAAAGGCAAATATGTTTTAATGTTTTGAAACGACGGTTGAATTTTAAGCTAATAAAAATTGTCAGATAAGTATTTGTCCGAAGTATTTAGTCTACAAGAATTTTGTCACAATTCATATCATCAAGCCATGGGCAATGTATTGATATATTATATTACTAAGGAATACAACAAAAATAATATCAATATTATTTCTTAAATAGCGTAGCTTCATTCGTATATGATCGAATGCGAACCTTTTCTTGTTGGATGTATTTCTCTTTGATCTCGTTGATTTCTTCAAGAGCCTGGGTGAGATAACGGCTCTTTACGTCTGCAGGAATAATGACCGCGTGGAGCTGGAACGCGTCGACTGTCACAAATACACCTTTAATAAATGTAAAAAAAAGAATTATTTGACGAACAAGTAATGGATGCGTTGGTAAATTTGCTGGTGATTGGTTGGTTGGTTGATTGGTTTGGCAGTCGGATGGTTGGTTGATAGGTTGGTTGGTTGGTTTGGCAGTCGGATGGTTGGCTAATTAATTATTAGGTCGGTTGTACCATTAAATTTGTTTGTGTGTGTGTGTGTGGATTGACTGATCATTTGTTGGTCTATTGATTGGTTGGCGAGTTTCTCGCAATTTAGCCGCTTGTCCATGAAAAACACCTTTCATTCTTCAGAAAATGAACTCAATTTTATCCTTTTCTGACTGATAGACAGCTATTACCGAGAAACTAGTCCTATGAATCGCGCTTCTCGGTTTGAATTGCGCTTGGTGATCAATGTAGAGACTGAGTARCAATCAAATAAAACAAACCTTTGTCAGCCTTGGTGCAAGTGTCGTACGGTTTACAGCCTGGCGCACAAGATTTTGTAGACACGCAGTCTTTACCACAGCACACACCATGCAATTGAAGTGCCGAGGCTTGAAAAAGCTTTCTTTCGACTTCTTCTCTATTTCGAAGGTAATCGTCAATAGAAATGAGCGCTGCCTGTCCTGGAATATTAAGAAATATACAGGTATGGTGTAACACACCGAACAGACTTGACGGCTGCAGATTAAGACGATCAAAACACCCCCTCGAGTTACCGACCAGTAATTTCCAAAGGATTTATAAGCGACTGCATATACTTCATTCGTTTAGGCATAGTTACTAACTATATAGTTGAGGATGGTCGTAACTGCGGAAAGTAGTCTAAACCTAAAACATACCTTTTACAGCCGCTGCACAAGTACTTTGTACGACCGGTCGATAATACAGGTCGTATTCATCGTGCAACTCTTTTAAGTCCTCAGGTATGAGACGATACTGGAATTCACAAGTTAGTCTAACCTCGAGCTTGTCTTTGGTAAAAACAGAAATATTTTTGAGCACTTCAAAATGCGTGTCCGCTTGATAAAGTTTGAACTCCTTCCCAGGCCCAACAAAGTATCTACCAGCTGTATAGACCTTACTTGTGTCGACTTTACCACTGGCGGTGGTTTTGAGAAATCCATACTGTTAAAAACAAACCAAAAAGAAGGATTGAAAAGCGGGATTGACAATTAGTAAAAATCAATTATTAAAAGTCCTCACTGAAGAATGAATGGTTTCAAACAGTAGTCACAATGTTTTATGTCACATTAGTCTGCAAATGCATCATTAGAGCGGATTTCGTACGAGTGGGACACCGTTACCGCACGGTTACCGCACGGTTACCGCACAGTTACCGGACCTGGCCTGCAAAATTTTGGTGAACCAATGGGGCACTAGAATTTGGTTACAGTACGATTACGGTCACAGTACAGTACCGTCCGTTTCCCACTCATACGAAATCCGCAATAAACAGCAAAAAAAAAAAAAACAACATGATTTATATAACTAATTGAAAAAAAAAAACAAGTTACGGTTTTCAAAGTGTTTCTTCATTAAAGCTAAGACCGAAAGGGAGCATGGGAAATCAAAGATTATGAATATATCTGTGTTTCAAAGCAAAAAGATTGTCTGTACTAAATGAAATGACCTTCTCTACGAGTAATGACATAATGTATCGTGTTTAGGCAAATATAATTTAAATTTGAACCTGACAACGTTTTTTGAATGTTTATATTGAAATTAGTTAATCGAGTGAACTTTCTGAATCACCTAAGTCTGGCTCATATGTTAACTAGCGTTCACTAACAAATCTTTACTGATCAATTTCCTAAAAAGATTGAAGTCCAAAAAAGCATTAGTCATTAGGTTCCGAGAGGTCTGACCAGCCGTAAAACAAGCCACCGAGGACTCCTACAAAACTACGAGTTTTAGATAGCTTACTTGGTGAAATTCAATGTACTTGAATCCTGTAACAACAATAGCAATAGTAGCGACGATTACAACGAAGCAGAGAAAGGTAAAGAATTTCTTTTTCGGCGACCATGGCCGAGAAGTGATAGTAGGTTCCGCCATGTTGCTAGGGCTAACAGACATTTATGTCAGGTGAAATCGATTTTGCGTAAATACCGCATACTTTGACATTATATGTTCTAATTTGAGAGCAAAAAGTTGCCCGTAGATTCCAATACCATTTATGGACAGACGAATTCATGAATTCATGCTCATAAAAGCGTAATGATGTCATCAAATAGGTAYCCATAGAAACGAGGACAAATAATTAAAATGAGTACGAATCTGAAGCACCAATTGGTGATGCAAAAATAATACACAAAATCCATATTACGAAAGAAAGTCAATTTGGAAACRACTATTCGTCTTATGACTCAATAAATTAAAAACGTCGACAGCAAAGTTTACTAGCATCGCAGAAGGGTTCCCTTACGCTTTGTGAAACAATTTCTATAGGTTAGTTATGTAACGATCGTTGAAAAATTAGTTATATAACGATCGTTGAAAAATCTGTTTTTTAAGCAACTCGACTGAGTTCTGATCAAAATCGAGGAATGCATTGGTTTACTCATTTTGCAAAACCGGCTTCATGAAATACTATATTTTGAAACGCTTGAAAACGCTATTACAATTCATAGACGTTATATATCCCGGCTTTATACGAACGCAAATGTTTTTATTTTGTTCATTGAAGAACAATACACTTTGTAACCAACTGGGTATCCCGAATGAGGAAACATACGTAATCATAAATTAACAATGTGTTTAATTTTGTCGATTCGAAGGTGACTAGCACTGAGCATTGTGACTTGAGAGACCCAAAGACTCAGCCATGGCTTCGTGTTTCAAGAAATACAAGGCTGTAATATTTCCTCTGTTGATTTTGGTGATTATTGGAAGCGTTGTGCTTATAATAAATTCAGTGAAGAAGATTGAAACTGGGGAAGGTAAGAAAAGTGCTGATTCAAACTTTGGACTCCTTAGCYACAGAGTTTTTGAGATAAATCTAGTCTTAGAGCCCATACTAACTGAGCATAAAACGCATGTCACAATAACTTTTACGGTATTACAATAACATTATTACATTATGGGAAGAGTGGTTCCAGAACTCGAGAACCGTCTATAGTTCCCAATAACTGTGGACTCGAGCTGACTCGGCGGAAATCCAGCGAGTTTACTTTGRTGGGCTCGGAAATTCGACTACTGCGACACAAAAAGTGCAAAACCCTTATTTCTTTAAAAAGASAAATAGTTTCAATAGGAATCTGAGGAATGAAGAATCAGAACAACTTCGTTCCTCTGGGCTTTCTGAGTGAAAGAGGACGCAGAGACCAAAACTATATGTCCTCGCTTATTTCTTTTCCTGCCCTCGGTTCTAGGACTGACAGCATTGTGCTGGTGTTACCAGCTTTAAAAAAACCTRTTTTAACACATAACGTTTTCATTTCAGTTGCGATAAGTTATAATTCTCTGACAAAAACCCTTGGTGACAGCCCCCAAACGGCTGGTCTGTACACCAGCACTCCTGGGCTTTCCTTCATCAAGTTTCCAAGCGTCTTTAAAACCCTGAAGTTTTCCAAACAAACTTGCCTCAACAAACAAGGCCTCGAAATCATCATCTATTATCAGTTCCAGCACAGAGCCATGCCCAAGCACCTCAGASAGATCATTCTGCGATATAGGAACTATAATACTTTTGTCAAACTTCTAAGGTACGTCTTTTTCTCATAGACTTTTCATTTTTCAAAGCTTCTCAAAAGTTTTAACTTAAAAGTGAATGGTCTGACCATGGGAATACTGAAATCAAAGATGTTTCAAGTGAAGGAATATGAATTGCGACTGAAAACGGGATCACTATCATCTGAATTATCACAAATTCACCTGTTAATTTTCTTACTAACAATGGAGATCTTTATTTCTAGATCCCTTGCGTTATCTGCACTTCGCGACTCGTGCAGCGCATTTAACACGACCCAGTTCCAGACACAGCGGTCTGTCTTCCAAGAGCACGTGAGAAAACTGACTGCAGACAGCTTCCATAACGTGAGCGCTGAACTCAAGGATTTACAAATCAGCAATATTGTACGACCTTCATCTTATGAGTCAGCGGTTAGAGCCATGGTATGTCTGTTATGTAATATACAGTGTAAACTGCGTAAAAGTACTTTTCCCGAGTAGTATTTTTGATAATCGATTACATTAGGCGTGCTTCTAATRTGCTATCAGTGTAGAGTGGTAGGGACTGCTATGCTTTTTTACAGGAAACAATACAATATGGTGGCCSCAGTAAAACATTCCCCATCATCTTTTGAGACTTCATCAACAAAACTCTGAAATCATGATTAAACTTACAACCGGTTTTTATAGTCAGAAATTGTGATTTCTATGAAGCAACAATAATAATGTCGATATGGATTATTACATTCTCTGTAGGAAAAAGCCAAAGAAAACATCAAACTAGCCCTGACTCAAAGACCAAGAAATCTGATCGCAGCTGATACCAAGAGACAAGAAACCATAACCGCCGCACAGATCACCAGAGAAAAAGGACGGACACAGGCTACAGTCGTGATTGCACAAGCGGAAGCCGAGGCTGCTGCCATTACTGCGGCATATGTAGCWGAGGCAGAAGCTTACGCTCAAGTGATCAGAGACCAGAACCTAACCATAGATGGACTCTTGTCCTATCTCGCAGTTCGTGTTGTCGCGGAGAGAAAGAACGTCGGTATTTCTTTGAGAGAACCTGCACGAACTAAATATACTCACACGTAGTGACGAAAAACAACTTTAAAATGACGACCCGCAAAAACGACTAGATTTTATGGGGAGTCTTCACGTTGTACACAGTGCGCATGTGCAGTTCTCAGGAAAAAATTTACGTTTACGAACGTGGTACCACAGGCTCTGTGATGAGGATTAGCCTGCTTAGCTAGTCRATTCTATAAAATTGTTTACAGAAGAGAAAAGCTCCGCATTCTAGAGAAAGATACTTCAAGTAATCCTTAAATCTCTTGCCCGTAATGGAAGAGTGTTAGAAATAGAGCGGGGTGATTGATACTGATGCCTGTGGGAAAYTGAATTTACAGTTACGAAATTATAAAAAGGTTAAGATTTACCTTAAATACATTGATTAAATCCTAAACAAAAATTGTCACCAGAAGCAGTTGGGAAGCCTGTGGTTAAAATAAAAATATGCAAATATACAGCAGTTGGGAAGCCTGTGGTGAAAGTGTTGATGTAAAAATATTAATTACATTTTGAATCACATAAAACACTTCTAARTGATTTTCGTTGTTATGATTGAAACTGTTACACGAATTACAGAAGCCAAATTATTTTATGTCGGCAAAGTAAAAGTTAACAGAGCACATGGCATCAGCCCAAGCGAAGTATTTGGCCGTCAATCAAATTAACTAAGGCGGCACGTGATTGGCTGATATTCGGCATCCCTTCGAGAGCTCCCAAAGCAGCTGTCCGTTTGGAATCCTCTGTTGTCAGAAAAAAGAGCGAGCGAGAATAGAATTTTTGTGATGTATCTRCTCTAAGGTCGTCATAAGTATCTGATCAGGGGCAGTGTTTACCGTGATGTCCGCCATGGCCTTCCAATCGGCACAAATAGAGTACATTCAGCCGGTTCAAACGACCCAGGTTAGTAGCGTTAGCCGAGAGCTTTGAGAGTTGTGTGTGTGATTTGAATTTCTCATCTTCTTAAACTCACACCCCTTTTCTTGTGCCCGCCCCCTGCACATATTATCGACAGGAAATTCAGCCCTCTCCACTAGCTCTTTTGGCTGCAACATGTAGCAAGATTGGCCAGGGAACTGACTTTCCAGACAACCAGCCTCAGAACGTTATCAATCAGGCTCAACAACAAGACTTCCCTCAAGTTTGGTCGACGCCTGATCAGACAGCGACAGTTCAAGTGAACGATGACTTTCAAGCTCATACAGGCAATATTTTGCCAACACAAAATCAAACAGCTCCTGCATTATACTCCCCCTTAAATGCTCTTAGCCAAATCGAAAATGGTCAGGTTTACTACGCCATAGTCACAACTTCACCGACTCAAGAGCAGCGACAAGACAACAACGCTAATCAAGTGCTAACACTGGCTTCGACCAACAACGATCCACAATCGCCGGAACAAATGTATTCTTTTGAGACTTCAGGAGTCTCAGATTCGTCATGGACAACAAAGACAACAACAACAGATAATCCTGTGAACACTAATGTACAGTGGTGGCAAAATAAATCGGTCAATTGGGTAAATGCTAACGTTAATACAGAACAGTTCACTTCGCCCAATTGTGGCACTGCTTTGGTGAGCGTCGAAAATGTTATGGAAGGTCAACAACAACAACAACAGCAGCAGCAACAAACTCAGCAGATTGTTGTGAATCCCACAAGCAATGATGGTGAAACTGCGACGTATATTCAAGTAACAAGYACGCCTCAGGGACACATTATCCTTACTCAAGACGGAAACGACGCGAGCAAATGGTCGACAGATGCGACTATAAATCTCAATGTTGTAGCTTCGCCACCGCAAACGACCGCTGTAACTACAAGTAACATTGTTCCAGTTACTCTTCCGCTCGATGTTGTTTCAAATGTTCAAAGTCCTGTTAATAGTTCGCCTAATACTCCGTTGAGTCCTCTGACGGGACGAAGGCTTCGCCGTGTGGCTTGTACTTGCCCAAACTGTCGTGATGGAGAGGGAAGGACTGCCAATGGACGCAAGCAACATATCTGCCATATTCCGGGTTGTGGGAAAGTCTATGGTAAAACGTCTCATCTTCGAGCGCATCTTCGATGGCATTCAGGCGAACGACCATTCGTGTGTAATTGGTTGTTCTGCGGGAAGAGATTTACTCGATCTGATGAACTTCAGCGCCATCGAAGAACTCATACGGGCGAGAAGCGTTTCACATGTWCAGAATGTGGAAAAAAATTTATGCGAAGTGATCACTTATCGAAACATGTCAAAACACACTCAAATACAAAAACTAAAACTCCTGCTGTAAGTCATGTATCTGCACAAGACCCTGTTCCTATTCAGCCTCAGAGAGAAGCCACGGAAATAGAACCTCCTTGTATTCAAAACGACGGTACTGCTGTAGTCGAAATCAACATCCCTCAGGTTTCTGTCAGCGAAGAAAATTGCGTRGTGCCTCAACCTCCTTTTCGCGAGCAAACAATCGAAGAAGAGTTTAATAACACTTCAGCTGAGGATTTTATAAATGCTGCAGACTTTAGTACAGTCTCTATGGATTAAACATAGGAAGGAAAATATACATAAACATTTCACGTATGAAATATACTAAAAATCTTCCTGCATTTGGAACCGTTTTTATAGCACTAGTGTACWTAGGACTCTCAGCATAAAAAAATAATAATTTATTTACTGTAAAGAATTCACCTCAAATTTGTGATTCCACTCTCTCCCTTGAAATTTTGTAAAAATATTTTAATATCATAGTCATAATTTATTCTCAGTTTGAAGTAATTGTAACATTCATGAATATTGATGATAGCAAATATGTAGAAATTTTAGCAATATACAAAAGGTATACAGTAAAGAAGTATAGGTATGTTTTTTACTCATTTTCATTGATCGGTATTGTTATCTTCGTAACTGCTTAAAAGAAGACTTTGTGTCGATCAATTAGAAAAAACAATCAGCTCAGTTATTAGAGGGCGATATATTATTGCAGCTAATTTTCCTCGAAAAATGTTCCATGTTTCAAACCGTTGATGAGCTTTAAAGCTATAATTGCCACAAGATCAAGAATTTTAAATAACTGGAAGTGAATATGTAATTAMATTAATTATATATGGCCGAGACTAAATCCTGGTGACGACCAGGGTTTTTGTGTATGTGAGAGATTATGCTCATATTTCATGCAAACGCTATTTCTTACAGATGGCGCAAATAATAGGCTATTACAGTGTGATCTTTTACTAAGTATTTTAAAGAAATTTAAAAAAATTCCAGAGTTAAACTAGCTCCATTCAAAGGGCATTTTGCAGAGGTCTGATAAGTGGCTCTGAAAAGCTGGTAAAGCCATTGATTACACCACAAATACAAAGACATGAGTACTTCTTAAAAAGTAATGATATTCACTATATTGGTTCAGATCGCATTGTGAATCTCACTGTGAATGTTATTTGATTCATGTTTTGTACTTTTAGAATGAAATACTGATATTTCACTTGACTAGGCTTTGGTGAATGAGATTTCCTGCCTTGTTYTGAACCCATAATTAGTGACACTGCATTATGGGCATGTGCAGGCAGTAGTTSCATGAGTTCCTTGGCAAATGAAGTTTTATAAATATGAGGCTTATTTGCCACATTATTCACTGTATGTTCACATACCTTCAGATATGAATTTTAATACATTCAGGATGTAGAATTCTTGCCTTTTACACTGATTGTCTGAGACAAAATGTTAAGGTTGCAAAATATTAAATGCACTGTTGTACAAAAATTAGAAACATATTGGATAAGTAGATATTCTTGACAATACATCACTCCTTTGCTATAGAATTTGAAAAAAACAGACAACTACACTGACCTGGATTTGATCCTGTCCACCAAAGGGTGAAGGATCATTATTAAACCTTATTGATAACCAATACCCATAGTGCCTTTCAGTCATTGATTCTTGAATCTTTTATCATGATCATTTTTTAAAATAGGTCATGTATTATGATTTCGAAATATTATGTGTGCAATTTATGTTACACTTTCAAATTCTACTGAATCTCAAAGAGCATAGGCTTTAGTAATCGTTTTCAAAAATTTCTACAGGGAAGACCAGTGAAGGATTTCAAATAATAAATGTCAAATAAATGTAATTCAAAATTTGATGATAGAAGGTTTAGATAAACTAGTCGAAGGAAGCTTTTAAAGAAAGAGTAACTATATTGGATAATAAAATGAATGGAAATGTACCTTGCCTGATTCACGTGTGAGACGAAGAACTCTGCCACGAAATAGCGCCAAATAAAACGATGTCTCGCCAAACGATATTGAGCGGGATACCTGTGTATTTTTGAGCCAGTAATATTTGTGTACATTMTTGTACATGCGCAATCGATGAGGGTCGGCCATTTTGTAAGGCGCTGTGTGATTTCTTCTAATCGTTATTTGCGAACATTTCACGTTTCCTCAACGCGTAAGATGCCTCCGAAGAAGAAGGAAGAAGAAAAGCCAACCCCTTTGATGGGTAGATTTGGAACTTCATTAAAATGTGGAATTGTAGGGCTTCCAAACGTGGGGTAAGCGTTTCGAAAAATTGTTWAATATATGAGGCAAGTCCTCCATGTAGGTGAATACTGGTGTCTCTATCAGACAATCGATATAGTGTGAACTGTAAAAACTTTTACATGAAGTATTTATCTGGGTTTGTATATTCACGTGGAGTGTTTATGTTGTTTTGAAAACTGTTTTTTTGTAGAAAGTCGACGTTTTTTAATGTTTTAACTAAAAGTGGAGCAGCTGCCGAGAATTTTCCATTRTGTACCATAGGTAAGAAGATAAACAAATATGAAATTCCACTTCCTTGTTTTTGAATGAAATTGTAAAATTTTTATTTTATTTTTCAACAGATCCCAATGAAAATAAGTATCCAATTTTGGTGAAGTATTTTTTCTTGTGAATTAAATAAAAAATCATATTGGTATTTAAAATTATGTAGACTGGTGAGAAAATGCCCAAATAACAATATTAAGCTTATAAATAAACTTTGTAAAACAAGTCTGAGTTCCCCACCAATTACTATATGATGTGTGTATGYCCAATGAATTGATGATGTATGGGACATTAAATAACTTTTTTGTAATATCTACAGTAATTTTCATGTGTTATTTTTTCTCTCTTTAAGTCGAGTAGCTGTACCAGATGAGCGATGGGACTATTTATGTGAACAATTCAAACCACTAAGGTAAAAAGAAGCAATAATTATATCTCTTTTTTAATAGTAAAGAGAGCTCTCAAGAAGAAAGGAGAAGCTCACAGCCAGTTRCTGATTAAACTAAATAAACAATTCCAATGAATTTGACTGATTTGTAGTCCTAGTTAGGGAGAAGACGAAACCACTTGAAATTACTGATAATGGTCCCGACATAATGATATATAATGTTAGCTTCCAGAACTTCTTCAAATGACTGTATAAATATTTTTTCTTTTCTATTTTAATAATAGCAAAGTTCCAGCATTTTTAAATGTTGTGGATATTGCTGGATTAGTGCAAGGTGCACATGAAGGACAGGTAACAACTAAAATCTGCATGAATTAAGATTGTTTAATTTATCATTTTTGAACAAAGTTACCAAAGAACAGGAGGGGTGTGTTAAAAGCATTTTTTTACATCTWTGCACTTACTTAATTACTGTATAAATTTACTTTAATTAATCATTTAAAGGCAAAATTAATATCTATTTATTAATATCTGATTTTTTTATTTTTCTAGGGTCTAGGAAATGCATTTTTATCACACATTTGGGCATGTGATGCTATATTCCATCTCCTCCGTAAGTTGCCTGATAAAAACTAAATTTCTTAATTATATAGCACAATGGAATTTCCAAAATATTAGACATTATGCATGTATTAGATGTCATGCATAATATTTCTCTGCACTAAACTAAGATATGTTTTTTATAATAATTCTTACCTTATGTATTAAGGAAAATAGGATTGACATCACCTGTCTCTGTCCTCTGATATTCATGTAAGCAAWAGACTTCTGAACCTTTATGTCACTACTTGATTTGCAAAGAATTATGGGATCAGATTAATGGGTTACACCATACACATATCAGAGGATAGGTGTACTATAAACAGGATCCTTAATGATGCATGTAAGAAAAAAGGTGTAGGGTGAAAACTTATTAAAAACCTGTTCAAAACTGACTTTGAATGAAAGGTACTGATCGTGAAATTGTGTTGAGGCAATTGCCTTGGACAGCRATGGAGTTGCTATATTGCTCTTTTTTTGGGTGGAATATGACTAAKAAGTGAAGTTTCTCAATTCTAAATCAATATTCATCCAATAGGATGTCTAATATTTTTGTTTTCCAATATGTAGGCTCATTTGAGGGTGAGGATGTGACCCATGTAGAAGGTGATGTAAACCCAGTAAGAGATCTTGAAATTATTTCTGAGGAACTTAGAAAAAAGGTGAGCAAATAAAACATTCATGGATCATTATTGCTTAGAGGAGTTCCTGGTTTTTCACTATAACAATATTGTTGATACACTAGGATGAAGAATACCTCAAAGACAAAGTGGTAAGCCTTATTAGACGACTTGAAAGAGTGCTTTTTACTGCATAAAGTATTTTAGACATTTTTATTTGGATCTGTGTAATATTTTATATTTTTCATTTAAATTAGACGACAATGGAGAAAACTACAATACGAGGAGGAGGAGATAAAAAGAAGCTTCAAGAATATGTAAGTGACTTAAAACATTAAACATGGCATCAAAGAGGGAAGGCAGCTTTTGATCTAAAAATAAATATTTGTTTGTTGTGGATCAACCTTTGAATCAATGGTATGTTTTCCTCAAGCTGCTGTAGCTATTCATACAGCTACAAAAGCTTTGGAAAAACATACTTTTTTTTAATGCACAGATTTATTTGTGGAGCAATTAACATACATAAACCTTGTTGTCTTTGAATTTGTCCTACTCAACAATGCTGAGCTCAATGTAATTCTGTCTTTGAATGATGACTTTCACAGGAAATGCTCAAAAAGATATACACTTGGATTGGAGAAGAAAAGAAACATGCACGGTTTGGYCACTGGAATGCAAATGAGGTAAGTAAACAGCAAAACCTTTGACATTTGATTGAAATGCTATGACTATTTAATGAATCAATCAATTGAAACCAATGGCCTCCAACCCCAAGGAAATGAACATTTCAACAAGAGGGCATAGAGMCCAAGATAGGTGTCTAAACAGATCAWTTRCTTTGATTTMGATGCTCATTCCCCTACCACCCCATTGATTAKGCTTTTAAAACAGTGTTAAAACCCTGTCTGTAAAGTGTTAATTACCTGGCCCTTCCCAGGGGTTGGGGCCGGGGTTTCCATTGACTGCTGCATAAGGAATTTCGTTATATCTGTTACATATTTTGTAAGAAATTAACTTAGGCTCTTGCAAATCTCCATAATCTATTTAGCAAACAATTTCACAGATATAGCAATCCAATGCCCTCAAACATTMTGAATAAGGTCAAGTACATTGGAAAATTGTAAATCATTGCTCAGAATAAGGTCTTTCAAACTAATTGAGATAAAAAACTATTTAAGACCAAAAACTGTTTTTTTATAATTGGATACATGGATGGTACCAGGATCTTTAGGAAGGGAAACAGGTAACCCAGAGGTAGAGGTGCACACCAAAAATATGATCAGAAAGGAGGCACAAAAATTAAGGTCACAAAACCTTAGCAAMGATGCTTATCCAGGTGATCAGCGCGCGTGCACGAGGAACGTCTGGTGGATTCAATGAAGGCACCATCCCATCATTCAGCTCGTGCATTATTATCGTGGTCTAGAAGAAGAATTCGAGCATCTACTGCGCGAAGAAACCGGCACACATATAATTATATAACAGTTAAATTTTGCCTTTCACGCAGTAGATGATCGAATTCTTCTTCTAGACCACAATAATATGTGCGCGCTGAATCATGGGATGGTGSCTTCATTGAATCCACCAGGCGTTCCTCGCGCATGCGCGCCGATCACCTGGATCCCTAACCTGGACAAGGGCGGATCCAGCTGGTAGGTGCAAGGGGTGTGGACCCCCCTCCCCCCTCTGCCTCCCCAAGATCTGCATCCTTCTATACTTTCCTTATTTTGTATCTTCATGGTAATAATGTTTTGTGGGGTGCACCCCCTACTGAGTGCCCCCACCCCTCCCTGTCTGGGAAAATCCTGGATCTGCCCATGCTGGATATTGATTATTCAACTTCAGCACATTTCAGAAATGCTGGAAATCTTGTTATGATATGATTGTATATTTTTATTACAATAGCAAAGGTAATTATAAATCTTGAATTCACTTTAGATTGAACTGCTAAATAGACATTTATTGCTGACGTCAAAGCCTGTTATTTACCTTGTAAACTTATCAGAAAAYGACTACACTAGGAAGAAGAATAAGTTGTAAGTATACAACAAAGCTATTGCTGACCAGCATAATTGCTATGCTCCATTTTTGTCTTATTTTATTATCAAATAAAACAAATGATCCAAGACTCAATGTTAATTGGGATTCCTGTGTTATGCTGAAACAGGGAGCACAATTCTCCTTCACAGTTTTTAGTGCAATCTTGAAAAGTAGCAAATTGTCTTTACATTGATYATGATTTGTAAGCATGCAGTGATAGAAACTTTTTCATAAATAGACAATAATTCAGGTATTTTTTCATTGCAAGCTTACCAGTGTTTTTAGGCAAAACTCTACCTTTTAAGCTGGCACAGGGAACTATGAACAAGACTTTTATAATAAAGTTGATTAGTTACCTTAACTTTATATGGTAATTTCTTTTACAATTATTATAATAGTTCATGGTTATAAAAATCATACAATAGTCGGATCCCAATAGTCTCCTTCACAGTTCTTTACGCCATCTTGAAAGGTAGCCATGCCTTTGCATCGAAGCAAGACAACCATTGAGCGTGCAATGATAGAAACCTGTGCATAAATGTCTGTAGTTTTGAAGAAGGTTTCTATCATTTAATGGACCACTCAACAGTGGTCTTGCTTTGATGCAAAGGCACAGCTAAGATGAACTAAGATGTTATTCACTTGTTTTAGCTTGGCAAAAATTAAAGAATGGATTGACAACAATGATAAAGGTGCAGTTATTATACCATTCAGTGGAGAGTTGGAAGAGAAGGTAGTTACAAAAGAATTGTTGCTTTTGAGTTGAGAAATCAGAATCGTGTTAGTGTTAAAATGTGGTTTTCAATCTTTTCCTTGGAAGTGCAAAGAATTTGAAAAATGCTCCAGTTTCGAATTCTCCAATACTCTGTGTTAGCCTCACTTGTGCGCAAAATATTCCTTAGTTGTGAGCGTAAAAGTGTGAGATTTCAAATCAAATTTATTGTCTTTCACAAATTCCATGCGTTTTCTCGAGCTATCAATGAAACAAAAGAATATGTTACTTGGTTTTGAGGCTAACACAGAGCAAACCAGAACTCGAAATTGGAGGATTAAGTGAACATCTATTTAAAATAAAATTCCTTTTGAACACCGATAGAACAACCAGCAATGCATTTCAATCTTGGAATGCATTATCATCAGTATTCAACATTTTCCAAAGTAGCTGTATATTATAATGGTTTTTTTTTTTAATTATCTCTTCTTGTAGCTTGTTGAAATGAGTGAAGAAGAGAAAGCAAGTTATTGTAAAGAACATGGCACACAATCGTAAGTTGAAATAATTAATGAACACAGCTGCTGTTATAAATGAGTACTTCTCTGGAGGAACTCTGAAGTTCCCCCATACTCTCCAGCTAACACATCTGCCAGTAATTTTTCCCTCATTTATGAAGGATAATAAGATTGCCACAGATTTTCCTCCAGCTTGTGTGCATCCTCAGTTTCCTTCTTGTTTAATTGACAGAATACATGCACTGCAAAAAGAAAATATTTTACAAAGTTTGTTATTTTGTTATAGGGCACTGAGCAAGATCATTACCACCGGGTTTAAAGCACTTCAATTAGAGTACTTCTTCACGGCWGGAAAYGATGAAGTAAAAGCCTGGACAATACTGGTGGGTTTGGTTAAACTGACAAATTCAAATTTTCCATCCGCAACCCTTTCATCTGATAGGCTAGATTTCAGTTTTTAATTCATTTATAGAAATCTCCATGGACATACTCATTCTATAAAGCAAAGGAATTAGAATAATTTAGTGTTAGAGTGATGTCATTTGTACCGTGAAACAAAATCTGACTATTAAAGTGTGATAGGAAAATAGACACAAAGGAAAACAACGCAATTAGAACGTARTAAGGCGTATTAGTGTAATATTTATTTCACGGTTTTTTTACTTCACTCTATTTTGTACTATTTTTACACGGATTAAGTGTGCTCATTATATTATTAGTGTTGCTAAAATATTATCTTTTTTATTATATTTCAGAAAGGAACCAAAGCACCACAGGCWGCTGGGAAAATTCACACAGATTTTGAAAAAGGTTTCATCATGGCCGAGGTGATGAAGTTTTCAGATTTTAAAGAACTTGGCTCAGAATCTGCAGTGAAAGTAAGTCTTTTTGATGCACATTGAATACAGCTATCTGTGTTATCGTTTGATGTGTAAGACAATACAATAATTGAGGCATTTGATGAGCAAAAGCGACTTTGTTGTTTCAATATTTATATTTGGTAATTTGAGGATGATTATGAAAGTACTCTCAGCAAAAGTGAATGATGATATTTACCTCAATTTGGCATTTAAAAAAATTGAAAGTACAATTTACAYCAAACACTGAAAGAGGGAAAACGTGCTATAACAAATAGTACAACATAGATTTGACAACGGAGAACAAAGGATTTGGCAAAATTCAGCGCAATTTAGCACTATCTAATTACTAAAGATGTCATGGTTTTTGTTTGCACTCACAGACGGAACCTTTTAATGATACATTTTAATTCTGATCAATTTAGGGTGCTGGCAAATACCGACAAGAAGGAAAGAACTACGTTGTTCATGATGGTGACATTATCTTCTTTAAATTCAATGCTGGTGCAGGACTGACAGATAAAAAGAAAGCAAAATAGATTATAGACTGATATATCGGTTTCGTCTTTAATTCAATGTAAATGACTGACTCTCAGTCTGAAAAGATGTAGAACAATTATTTTATTGAAATAAATGGCACTAAATCCCTTTGTGCTAAGGGCGGTGCACAGTATTTTAACAACATTCATTCATGTCGCTCATGCACCTTTTGAAGGGTTTTACGAGAAGTCGAAGAATCCACAGGCAGTTACTTTTTGTCGTTCCCATTAAAGAGCCATGGTCAACCGGCATTCAATGCGGTCATGTTTTAAATTTTTCATATATGGAAAATGAATTGAGCTGAAATATCCATTCGCAATTCCTTTCATCCTTTGATCTAAAGATAAAGGCCGAATTCWGTGATCTCCATCTTATAGAGCTTAAAGGGGTAAAAAAAACATACAATTATTAGTGGAAAGTATCTTTCATTCCTTCATTTATTCAAATAAGTTAGTTGGCTATCCGTTTTCACAACAAAACGAATATGTCTTCAAGGGGTATCGTATATAGGACATATACAATTTGCCCATGTCCTACAGTATATAAGAAATTCAGCTTCGTTCTTTTTGTTGTCCATTTTTCTCTTCAACTTCTTAAAAACAAAATCAATCAATGAATAGACAAAAAACAAAAAGACCCTAATAATCTGGATCTCTGGATTTGAACATTTGTGCTTGAAACTTTGAATGCTCTATTTCTCTATAATAACATTTTTGCATTACTTTGTGTTGTGCCTCCGCAAGAAAGTGGAAGGTCCCATTTATAGATAGCCACTGTCGTTTTCAATGATTTAGCTATAAGAGAATCTCGAGGTCATAACAATCTAACATGACCACCGTCACGTGACTACGACAAACCATTAAACTGTAACGTTTTTGACCTGCCCTTATATCATTGTTTACCAAAATATCGACCATTTCTAGTGCACGTTACGTTTATTTTATAGTTTAACACTCTAAAAAGTGAATTGTTCTGGCTGTGTTGTTTTTGTTTTTCAGGGCTGATTTGTGTGGATTTGGTTCAGTGTCTTGAAAACCACGTGCACTGAGCGCAGAAATAAGGGGCAKTTCAATGAAACAAATTATTATCGTTGAATATTAAGACCAATTAAGTTTTCTACACGGTAACTTCTGTTCGGAAAAACTAACACTTCCCTATGCTCTTCCCTCCTCTTTCCCGCGAAGACGAGAACTTGAAGAGTGAGAAAAACGGGGTCACTTCGTAGGAAAGTCACATGGTTGAATGAGACCCCTTACTCATAAAATGGGTATTATCCCAGTCAATCTTCCTCTTCGTGCCTATTGACACACAGGGTCTTATTATCGCAATAGAACCTTAATGCAAAAGGTTTTTCTATTTATCTCGAAACAACATTATTAGTGGAAAGTATATTTATCTTTCATAAGCAATTAGTTTTGAATTAGTGAGTTTACTCGGTTTTTATTTCCACGTACGCCTATTGACAATAAACTCTTTTAACTCGCGCCGAAATAAAAGCAACTTTCAACAATTAATGTAGACAGGTCTTTTGAAGCTGCCGAATCGGTAAATGGTTAATTAAACTTTCAAGGCAACATGAAAGTACCAGCAATGGTTCGATGTCAAACAACAAGCGAAAAGAAGACAYGTTTCAAAGGTGAAGGTGGCGTCAATGTCATTACCAAAGCCGCCTTAACAAATTTTCGACGAATTATAATAATGATGCTTCAGCATTTGAACAATTGCTATAGAATTTGTACAAATTGATTAACAGAATGGATTGTTGCTCAAGGTCACAGTTGTAAACTGGTGGAACATTTTACATAGTTTGCTTTGRCTGTGGGGCCTGTGGGTTGCAGTCTAGGCCCTGTAGAGTTATTACCCAGCAAACCTAAATCAAATAAATACAATCGAACCCCTTRCCCTGCTGGTATGGTTGGGCGAGAATATCGTAAATCAAACAAAATTCTTTTTAGTTTTTAGTTTTGTAACGATTTACAACGTTGAAAGTGTCTTTAAACCACTCATGATACAAATATTTGCACAATAAAATCAGTTTATACTATTTTTTGACAAACTATATCCATTTTGTCTTTTATGTAACTGATTCTAGTTTTTTTTGTTAATAATCTTTGTATCAGTTTTTAAACAAAACAAAGCAGGTCTCATATCTATTTGCTACAAGTCAAAAAAGACATACGTCTACGTTTATCACCAGGGGMCCGTCAGCGGGTTGCTAACCTTGGCGCCAAATTCTACATCAATTCWTTTTCTTGTCGYAACGGGTTTGCAAGTGTTTGATTCATACCACCTGCGAAGATGACTTTACCATTTGGTGTCCCTTTTATGAAGTATTTTTTTCTTTTGATACTTATCAAAAAATCTCTGAATATGGTATTCAATTGCTTTTAATAAATCTTTGGAAAAAATTTTMGGGGATACCAATCGCCGCGTTTTTGTTGTCATTCAATCAAATATACATTCATTCGATGCGGAGTTTAATGAATTATTAGATATTTTTTGGTCGGTTAAAATAACTATCGCATTATTAGTAGTGAGCTCCGCCTCTGTCACTCCTTATTGCATTACATAATTCACGATTTATAGATTAACTKAAAAAAAGAGTGCACGTTTTTTTGTACAGAGATATTCCACATGACTCAGTCCAATACAAGTCGAGTGCGTTTCGTTCACTTGGTCCCTATACTTCTTAACGCTATAGAACTACTTGTAATACTAGCCTTATCACAGCAATTTGATAATTAGCTTTTTGAATATTTAAAATCTTGCCAAAAAATAGAGTAAAAATCCAACTCGCGCGCACATACACCACCAAGAAACATTCACATCTGAGAGTTTATCTTAGTCTTGTTGATTGTAAGTCACAAATGTGATGCATGAGCTAGGTTTTTTTTATAAAAAATAGAAATATCGACCATATACAGTAATTTGATATAGTTTGTTTCAAGTCAGAACTGCGAGTCAAAGACGCACAAAGAAAGTTGACTTTCGAAGCTTAGATGTAAGCAAGAAAAGGCATAAATGCAAAGAGAGGTTTTCATAAACCTACGAAACAAAGTTTTATATTCAAAGTAAAATATTGTGCGATATAACGAAAAGATAAAAAAACACGTGTAATATGAATAATAAATTTCACAGGTTATTGAAAACCATCTAAACCCGCGAAACAAACTGATATAGTCAAAGTGTTAAAAAAATCGGAGACTGAATGAAAAACCACACCGGAGTAATTCAATTTAGTATACTAAAGTGTATTTTATGGGTTTATGAGAACCAATCGACGTGTTGTGAACCAGGAAAACAGAATCATATTGACAGAGTGCAGCAATCAGTCATTAAATAGACACCACTAATAAGAAAACAATACAATCATCGGCTACTCAAGTGTACGAAGATATAAAGGTGAGGACATGCCTGAGATATATATTAGACTCTAATACATTTTCATAGTAAGTACTTATCAAYTTCTTTCTTATATTTTAATCAAACTACATCTCACGGATTTCATGCGCTATGTTTTGATTCTATTAATTCAGCAAAACTCACCGTCGCTACTTGGTCGAAATAGTGCTCTTCAACATGTTTGAAATACTTTTGTGAGTTATTCAGACCTCGCCCACACGATGCCGGAGCTTTTTGCACCTCCATTTTTTTTCGTTCGCACGAATGCGAAAATGATCTCGATGAGTGGAAGCGCTGGAGAAAGGTCTCGGCCTACCGGGCTGTAAGCACCGTCGGAGAACTTTCCCTTTCGAAAATGTTGTCATGGAGAAATCGAACATTTGAACTTCAGCTAAAAGGAATTAGTTTTTTTAAGAAGAAAAGATCGCTCAAGGCGAACGCTTTCTTTGGTGTTTTTAATGTGTTTCTTATTACTAMAGTGTAAATGTTCTATTTATCTAGTACTGACAACGTTTTTGCACTTAGATACCTTTCGCATAAAATTATACCAGAAAACCGGAACAATTTCAGAAAAAAGAAAAAGAAAATCAGACCATTCTAAGACCTACACGGTTTCAGGCTACAAACAATTCCGGCATCCTAAACCTATGAAACAACATCGTCCTAAAATAAAATGCAATTTTATTAGTCTAATTTCTATTTAAATGGTTGTTTACATTCAAATTATATTCTAATTATTGCAATCTATCTTAAATTGGGGWAGTTTTCAATACAATGTCTTTAAAAAGATAATACTATAAAATAATCTTAACTGGATACTATTAGAAAAGAGAAACATATAATGTGATGGTGTTTTATAGTGTTTTATGCCGTAAGCCCGTGAAACAAAGTGTCCTAATTCAGGTGCAATTATTATTAATCGTAATAGCCTGTTTAGTCAATACAATTGAAAACCTAAAAGTGGCATGACATGTAATACGCAAAATTGTGTTTCACGGATTTATGAAGCCTTATAATACAAAACTTCGATTTAGTTTTTTTGCCTGGAGCTATTCCAAGAGAATCAATCTCCGTAAATGTCAGATTCAAGACATACAAATCAGTTCGGCTTTATTGAAAAAATAAAAWAAAAAAAAGAAAAGAAAAAACACACACCTACACTTACAAAAACAGCAAAAATATAATACATACACACAAAAAAAACAAGCAGTTTCCTCCATAGCGAGTGACATCACAAATACGATACCAATTTTAACGCCGAAAGAGCTATGACATCACGACTCTAAATCAACAATCTGTATACTCTATTCTCATTCTTCTAGTTTATATTTGCTTGTACTTATGTACTCAATTAACACACTCACAAACTTCTTGTTTCACTTACAAAAAAACCTCTACACAAAAGGAACTCTTTAGCAAATTACTAGACACCTCACAGCTAGTATTTGACCGAGAGAGGGAGTCTAGAGTTCACACTGGAATCTCTTGGAGAAACTGAAGGGAGCCAGCGTAAAATTAACTCAAATCACATTAATATACGACAGACAATTGCAACCTACTGGCCCACCCTTGTTCCTTTAGTAAGCCATAATATAAACCCTTGCCGCGTAGAACAATTGTTATATTTAAAAACCCCATTTCCCAGCGATAAAAACCACCTTTGCCACCCAAGAGTTTCAAAAACCACTAAGAATAAAAGTTTAAAATAACCTGTTAGTAGAATAAAAGCCCGCCGTCCTGTA